TCTAAATAGAGATGCAATACATATAAAAAAAAATACCTTTGTCTGCACATTGACGGGGCACTGAAATGATAGCTATAAACCCTGCTACAAAAAATACACAAAGGTGTGTATTCTTATATACATGTATACTTGTATACATGTACATCCATATCTTAAAAAAAAGGATACAAACTGACACAGAATGACGTATCTATATTCTCTTTAGAGAAGTGGACAGGCTTTCGCCTACATGTACATGGATGTAGGCGAAAGCCTGTCCACTTCTCTAAAGAGAATAGACATATCTATAGAATAGATGACAACAAACTCCATGTCAATAACACTAATACTTATCAAGTTTAAGTTCAGTTTAATATTAATTCACTCAAACCATAAAATCTTGACGTTTTAAACCTTTCTCTTGATATTGATTAAAATATCAATAAAACGTCAAGTGCTTGTGCATGATGGTACATGAGAACCAGAGAATATAAAATATACACCTGGTATATTAAATCGTCAGAAGTACATATAACATACACGTAGAAATGCATAAATAAATATTTTACAATTGCATGGAGAAAGGGCAGACATATGACAACAAATAATATAATAATAATAGTTCAGAACAATTATTAACAGACAATCTCAAAGATAATTGAAATTTCTCAAATATTTTACATTTGAATTTGACATGAGTTAATAGGACTTTACAACATTTGGTCTACTACACATATCTATTATCTGAATATTTTTCCTTATTTCTGAAAAAAAACGAGCATTCGAAATGTGATAAAATACGTATATATAGAAAACGTACCTGTACTTATTATACTCGTCACAACCTTGCTTCATGCACAAACTTTGTACGTACAGAGAAGAGCTAGAATAACGAGCATTTTTATCTCCAGTGAATCACGCATTCGAGTGTTGCTCTAATGAACGGAAGCCCATTTAGGACCTGTCACAAAGTATTTTTGAATTCGATATAACGAATTGTCGAATTCGTTAAAACAGATGTCATTCATTTTAATATTTTTTTTTATTTCGTAATAAGGAATAAGGAATTCGTCACAACAAATTCAATCAAATATTTTAAGGAGCTAAATTCTTTAAAGTGAATGAATTTATAATTTTAAATTCTTTAATTTTTTTAACTGGTTTTTTGGATTTATAAAATCTTTTTTAACGTTCATGTATTTCTATCCAATTTGACGTGATAACTGATTGCAAAATCGGCGAGAACAAAATAAACTATTTAATATTTCAGTATCAGAAATTTGTTATAATGAATTCTTTAAATTTGTTTTAATAAATTGAAAAAAGAAAAAATATTTTTTTTCAATTTCAAATCATAAGTACCTTACTGCCTTCTGTAACGCTTTTATGTAAATGTCCGTCTCGTCCCATCACATTGATAACATAGAGATTTCTTTCATTTGTTTTATCGGATAAGATTAGAAATTTGAATAACTTTTTTTTAATTTGTTGTACAAATTCTAACAAGAGGCCCAAGGGCCTTAACGGTCACCTGATTTAGAAGATCCATAGAGTATAAAATAAACTGATAGATGAAAATTTGTTGCCCCAAAACAAGAGAAATAGAATGATCAGGGTCAACGAAAAAAAAATAGTCTAGTATTCAGTAACAACTCGATCATAAATCAATTTCTAATATGTACCCTATTTATCAACATCACCTTGCAGACTGTTAACAAACTATTCGTGCTTCTGTACTATTTTAACCCATATCATAACCTCTCACATTGGCCTCCCTTGGTCTTTGAAAAACTATTAATTAGATATTTTTCTCTCATTTTTATTTTTCTATTATGTACAAGTCTACCTGATCATTAAAACTATAAAAGTACTTTTTGTATTATACAGTAAAAATTCTTGCATAATTCACTTATTCTATTAACCTTTCAAATACATTATTTAGAGTAAAAGTGAATGGCAAAGGGGAATAACTTCTCTCAGTAGAATACAAATTAATAGAGCCCTAGCCAGGACCAGAACACTTGACCAAATGGTCAAGTTGTTCAAAAATCTGCTTAAAAACCCATTCTTATTACACTGTTTGCACTTTTACACTGTTTGCCTCCGATATGCCCAGGAGCAGACAAGACTTTCAAACAAATAATGCATTTTCACTACAGATTAAACACAGCCCTACCCTGCCAGAAGCAGATTTCAAAGAATTTATACATTTTCACTACACTGTATATTATCAATAGAGTCCCGCCCTCACATCAGAACCCCTGACCCAGGGGCCATGAAATTCACAATTTTGGAAGAGGCACCCTTGCTCATCATTACTATGTACTTAGTTAGTTTGTTTAATACCCAGAAGCAGAGAAGATTTTCAAAGAAATAATGAATTTTCTCTATATATTCAACAGAGCCCCACCGTCCTAGCACCAGAACCCCTCACTCTTGGGCCATGAATTTCACAATTTGATTGAGGACTCAATGCTTATTGCAATCATGACAACAGTTCAACTGCTTGATGTCCAGGAGTAAAGAAGATTTTTACAGATAGCACTAATTTTATTAGCCCCACCTCTCAGGCCCCAGGGACCATGAAATTAACAAATTTTGTTCCCCTTCACTCATATATGCTGATTGCCAAAATTGGTTGAAATTGGTTCTGCGGTTCCAGAGAAGAATCTGAAAATTTTCAAATGTTAATGGACGACACACATCGCACGACGCTGGACAAAACAGATAGCAATAGTTCACCCGAGTGACTCAGGTGACCTTAAAATTCGTTACCATAAATTACACTTTGTTGTAAAAATTTCTGACGTCAAAATCTTTAATCGTTTAATCTGTATTCACAGAATGTGCAATTTGTTATCACAAATAGGATAGATATATGTTAAAACAAATAGAAATATGCTAAAACAGATGTCATAAAATCGTTAAAAATTCATATAAATATCTATATAAATATGAAAAATCATTCAAATGTGTTAACTTTTGAAAATTGACTTGGAGGTAGGCGGGAGAACAATATTATCGTTCGCAGTTCTTTGATATTACAAATTTAATTCGCCATAACGAATTCACAGAAATTAATATAACGAATTTAATTCGATATATCAATTTCGACAATGCGTTATATCAAATTCAAAAATAATGAATTCAAACTTATAAAGAAGTGACATTCATACCCTGTAGTTTTAAAACATATGAACTTAACGGATACGACAAACTACCTTTCTAACAAATCGAAATCATTAGTCCCTGGTACTTACCTATAACCATGTCTTACTGTATATGTGACCTTAAATAAACTTTCACTTTCAATACTTAATACATACCCTCTATTCTGTGTGCATGTGATGGAACCTTAGACTGGTTGATAAAGCAGTTACATTGTACATGTATTTATTTGATTTTTTTTTTTTTTTTTTTTGTATGTTGCATATTATGAACTATCGACTGTTTATCTTCAATGTTTGAGATAACACTAGTTGATCACTGCAGAAGTCTTTGACAAATTTCGGGAGTCAGACGCCCAGGAGGACCTGGTAAAGTTGGAAGTGGGCATATGGAAACTGCATACTTACAAGCTCAAAAGGCATGTGGACGCTTAAACCTCCATATTGTTTATAATAATATATTTTGGCTTTTGATTCAAATGATCAATTCAATCATAAGATTTTTTTGCATTTATGAATAACTTATCAAATTAAATAAAATTAGATATACTTGAAAGTGTTCATTTCATTTATTCATCCAAAGTGAAGCATAAAATTTTAACGACATGCTATTCTACCACGATTTCCTAGAAACTCTTTCGCACTGGAGATGCAAAAAGTGTACAGGTTAAAGAAATGGTTTTCCTTGGCATGAAAAGGCAAGCAAGAATCAAATTGGGCATGTAACCAGAAGTCTCTGTGGAGACTTTAGCTCTACTGGTTTGTACTTATAACAAAGGAAGAGAAAAGTAGCACATGGACTTCAAACTTTGCAACAGCAATAAATAGAATAATGATCCTTCATTTAGTCTCTTTTTGTGGCAAGATTGCAATCAGACTAAAAACTGTAGGAGGAGTAGCCTTTTAAAAGAATTTTACAGAAATTTCGATTTTAGTAACCATGACAACATTATTCAACAAAATCAAAAATCAATAAAGACAATTATGTATCTCAGTATAGTCTACTTGTGTGCCAAGTTATATTGAAGTCACACCAAAATTGGCGTAGCACTTTCAAAGTATTTTAGGAAAATTTCTATTTTTAGTAACCATGGCAACACCATTCATCTAAATCAAAAACTGATTAAATGAATTATGAATCTTAGTGTAGTCTAATTGTGTGCCAAGTTATATTGAAATCAGACCAAAACTGTAGGAGGAGTAGCATTTTGAAAGTATTTCAAGGAAATTTCAATTTTTAGTAACCATGGCAAAATCCATCAACAAAATCAAAAATTAATACATAGAATTATGTATCTTACTCTAGTCTACTTATGTGCCAAGTTATATTGAAATCAGACCAAAACTGTAGGAGTAGCGTTTTGACAGTATTTCAAGGAAATTTCTATTTTTAGTAACCATGGCAACATCGTTCATTGAAATCAAAAATTGATATTTAGAATTATGTATCTTATTGTAGTCTACTTATGTGCCAAGTTACATTGAAATCAGGCCAAAACTGTAGGAGGAGTAGCACAGACGGACGGACAGACAGACAACAGACACCTTACTATCGCAAAAGCTCTCCTGGTCTCTGACCAGGAGAGCTAAAAATTTGTTGTGTAATAAAGGGATAAACCTGTGCAAAGAGCATGTGCTGCAAAAAAAAAAGATTTGGATAAGACTGCTGCAGTCATCTGCAATCCAAAGTTCAAGTAATTTTTTTTCTTCAAATATCCGTGTAAGCCAAGAGATGAGTCTGAGAAAGCAAACTTGATCTGACTATGTAACAACATTCCTAATTCTATTAATGATGTATTTTCATGACAGGTGTATGACAAGACACTTTAAACTAGAAAGCAAAAAATGACAAAGAAAAGTTACTACGTGATTTAATCCAGTTTCTGATTATAAACACATCTTAGGAATTAGCATTGGGCCCCTTTCTGCGACCAAATGTAGAAACAACAACTCCAAATCTTCTGTTGTACTGCATGCGTCTCTTGGCTCGTCCTGTCTTCTGTTTCTTCTTCTCTTGTTTTTCAACCTGTTATTTAAATACAACACAATGACAAAACTAGTGCTAATTGTAACGGGAACCGTTACAGATGTTCCCCAAACGGCTCCCCAATCCCTTATGATGCCCCATTCCCTACAAGCTTCAATGAATTAGACAATACTTTTGTAATATAAATGGATACTTTATTTTTAAGGGTATTTCATTGGAAAACTACTCCGATATAGCCATATAGGTATTAGCCAATCAAATTTCAGCGCATGTGCTTGCACATGTTTTCTACATTTTTCACATTAATTTTCTTATAGTGTCTCACAATACATACATTTGTGTTAAATATTAAAGAATTTCATTGAAAAATAAGAGAGATGTAACCCTTTAAGTATTAGCCAATCAGAAATCAGCGTACGCGCATGCATGGCCTTGCATTCAATTTTGATAGTATCATATTGTAGGAGCTCTATGTGCCTATCCATGTCGTAAATTTCATCCTGTTTTGTTGAAAACCAAGGGAGTTATAGACATTTAAAGTTTCAACCAATCAGATTGCAGCACACCTGCATGCGCGTGTTTTCAAGAAATTTCCTATATAACATGTTGTAGCACCTTCTGATATATACTTATATTCTAAATTTCAAAGTATTTTGTGAAAAAACAAGGAAATTATTGAGATTTTTGTATCAGCCAATCAGAGAAGAGCGCACGTGCATTCGCGTGAGTTCACGCTAATTTGACCACGTTATCTTATCTAGACTACTAATATATCTTTATATCTTGAGTTTCAAAGCAATTCATCAAGAAATACAAAAGTTACGGCTTCATCAAGTATATCAGTCATTTCACTCATTGCACGCGCGCGCACGTGCATGCATGTGCGCGCAAAATGACCTTCGTTCCGAACACCTACACAACATGCCTATTAACCCTAAAAAGGTTTCATGTCAATCGGATGAGTGGTTCTATGAGAACACTCCCGGACAAAAAAGTACCGGAGAAGAAAGTAGAAAAAAAGAATAATAATAATAATAAGAAACAGAGTAAAAACAATATGTTCCCAAACTTCGTTTGGGGAACATAATAACTCATCAACCTCACAAACAAGAGGCAGCTGAAGGGCCTTAATTGTTCACCTGATTATGATACAAGGCTGTAAAGTATCCACCGAAGTAAAAAAAATAAAACAAAATAATCTGATAGATGAACAGAAGCTATTTTGCCCAAAACAAGAGGAGGATCAGGGATCAACAAAATAATGAGTACACAGTAACGAATCTTAAAGTACATCTATTTACTTGCCTGTGCTTGCCCTCATTTGTCACTACCATCATGCAGACTAAACGATAGTGCTGAGCACTATTAGTAAACCCATCTCTTTCCCTAATTTACAAAGATAAGATATTTTTGTCTCATTTTGTTTACCTATTATTTACGAGTTTACCTGACCATTGCAAACTAAGAAAGTACTTTCTCTTATTCTCTTATTCAAGTCTCTTATTCAATTGACCTTTCAATTACATTATTTACAATGATTAATTATCATAGATGAATAGCAAAGGGAATAACTTCTTTAAGTAAAATACAAAGCCCTGCCCAGCACCAGAACACTTGACATGGGTCCAGAATTTCAAAAATCTTGTAAAAATACCCTTGCTTATTACAATTATGTACTCTGTTTGCCTCCTAGATGCCCTGGAGCACAGAAAAAAAAGATTTTTCAAAGAAATAATCCATTTTCAACCCTTGGTAACAGGACTGGAACAGGGAGCAATAGGTCACCTAAATGACTCAGGTGCCATAACAAAATAAGCATACATTACATACATAACCATCTAATAATATCAAAAGCCTGAAAGGCTTCAATGGCGTCGAACAAGAAAAACAAATTTCAAAAGATCTGAAGACAGCAATAGGTCAAGCGAGTGACTCAGGTGACGTAATAATAATAATAATAATAAATAGTTTTAAACAAAATGTCACAATTACAGTCTGGGGCCTTATGTCATGGTCCGAATGGAGCAGGGTTCGAATGACCAGACACCGTCGAACATGTTCATGCTAAATATCAAATTAATTTCTTTAATTTCGGTCAATTGATGAACTTTGAAGGATTTCAAGAATTTTTATATTATTCTTTCTAATTGCCAATGTCAAATGGTTGTTTTAGTTATTGCATCTAAACTACAACCATGACTCTGCTCTGTTACGAGTACGATCGAGTTACGATAGGGCATATGGCATTATGGAGGAAATGGAGAAATACAGTAATACTGGTCAACATCATGATCGGTTTTTAGGATACAGTTGGTTAGAAGATTGTAAATAGAAATTCAATCTTTTCAGTCTTGTAGTATTGTTTGTAATTATTTTCCCGCCTGTTGGGTTGTTTGTGTTACACGGTTTACAGGTTATCATTCCAAAAATGTTAGTATTCATGTCATTCGACGCACTCTTTCTGTAGAAATTCATCTGCAACAACCATCATGTTTTTCTTGTGTGAAAATAAAGCATAATATCGTTGTTTTGTGAAAGAATTAATAGTAGATACAATTGATGCAATTTTATTTTCAAACTATTATTCATTGTGAGCGTTTTCAAAGAAATTGGTTTTTAGCTATTGGTATTTTCTTTCGCGGATGCATCCACTGACACATTTGGTCGCGTACATCCGGTGGCGATTTCACCTGGCTGATCGCTAGATGACGTTCAAGCTCCAAGAGCTTGACGCCATAATAAGTAAAATCTGAACGATAATTTATCTAAATATGCATAATTTTACACTGGCATATTGAATCATAAGAGACTTACCTTGGGGGTCTGTCCCTTGACTTTTCCGGCACGGGCTAGAGAACCATGGACTTTACCTATGAAGGAGAATTGGTAAAATTACTGGTTATGAAATAGGTTGTGATCTCTCATTAAATTGTAAAGACATTTTTTTTTATCCAAAAAACAAATAAGGACTTTTTTATGTCTGTTTTGTTCTTTTTGATCCAACAATTATTTTATGAATATACTTAATACAGATATAGATTGAAATTTCTTTTACTCTGTAAATAATCTTCAATTAGGAATTTACATCGTTGTAAAAATAGTTTAAAATGTAATCTACACAACATTGATACAGGCAGATCTTTTTATTCACTAAGAATGACACATCAGGCATGCATAAAAAAGTGGCCTTTGGAACATGGGAATAAAGGAATGGAATGATGCAGGAACCATCAATAGAATCAGAATGCATAACAAACCACAATATCCTACCTCTCTCTCAAAAGATATTTTAACAAGTAGTACTTTTGCTTTCTTTGGTATTTTAGATAGAGAACTGTGAAAGTATTTTTGAAATGTCCTGTAAATTACATTCCCCTCATGGAATTCTAACAGTCCTGGTTTGTTGTACCTAAATTTTCTTTTGCTTGTTATTAAAGCTATTTTAATGAAGTCTCATCACTCTGTGCAGCATACACTCAAAAAGGCTTCCTTAACGAAAACTTACCTCCCAACATTCTGACCTCAATATCCAGAGTGGACAGGTCATTAAGCTTAGACAGAAGGTACTCATCCTGCAGTGGTTTACCAGCATACAGGATAATCTGTTCCTCAACTGGAAATCCCTCACGTTCACTGATCAGACTCTGTAAAAAAAAACAGCAGTGATTTAAGTAAAGCTAATTTTATGATTCAACTTTTAAATGCATTATAAATTCATAAATGGATTCTGTTGTGTGTTCTTAATCAATTCAATCTTGCAAGTTCTATCTTTCAATCCTGACAAAATTTGGAATCCGTATGGTAGTCTAATAATTTTTCATGCTTCGGTCACCCAAATGCTTTAGGTGGAATGGAAAAAAATAAATATTACCTCTCCTACAACACAGTACAACAAAGGATCCTAAGTAGGCAACGAGGTAAACTTTATAGCAAATTATAGTACAGTGGGTAAGGAAATGACTAGATAGTGTATGAAATAATTTTATCCTACAGACCTGGTTTAACAATTCATTTTGTCTGTTTGCCATGAAGCAAAATATACAAAGGCAGGTAATTCTAATCTACATCTAAACAGGAACAATATGGAGATTTCCGAATGTCAACATTGAGAATACATTTGAAGCAAGAAAGATGGGATCTTTTGTTTTCTTTATATGGATGGTTTTTGTTGGTAGAAGGCACACACAAGCTTAAAGGGTTTGTTATTATTAATTTGAAATTTTCAGTGCAATTCCTCTTTATTGTCCAAATCTATTGAATCATGCCTGCTCCATTTCGCTACATTGCACTACATGTGACATACTTTATCTGACTAGGAAAACAATATCAATATGATGCCAGGGACTTATAGTTTTAAATATGGTATGCAAAGCAAGTGCAAGAGAGATAATCTCAGAATACAAGGAGTTCTGCAATGTTATATCCCTTTTCCATCCTACTAGGACACATTGTCAAGGAGCCTTTTCAAAGAAGTTATATATATGTATCAGAGAAGTTATATGGAACTGGCGAGGGAGAAAAATGCCACAGACCAGATCAGGATTCAAACCTGGACCCCATGAATTACTAGTCAAATGCTCTACCAACTGAGCTAGCAATCCAACCTGCCTTACCAGCATATTCCTCCCTCTTTAAAGGTCTTCACCCCTGAAGACACCAACACAGACTCTTCCCTGAGAGGTTTTTTAAATGGCACCAATTTTTTCTGGCAAGGGAGAAAACTACGAGAGACCAGACCACAAACCCAGGTTATTATGGGTTCGATTCCTGGATCAGCCACTCATTTTCTCCTTTTCTGTTACATAATTTGGTGGTACTGACCACCCCTGGGCTTGCAAGTGAAAGTTCTACCATGGGCAAGGTTTGGGCCTTGGAGTACAAAGACAATTTAAGGAGGGAGAAATGCAATGGTTTGGGTTGTGGATGACAGCTTGGGTAGCTAAGTGGTTACAGCAACTGATTAGTGATGAAGTTCTGGGTTCGATTCTTGGTCCGGCCATACACTTTCTCCTTTCCTGTTACATATAAATGGGTCAATTGGTATGACCATATAACATAAATTCGTTGGCTACCATGATGTACTTATTTAAAACCTGTCTCATATGAACAGAAGTTCGCCTGACACTACCTTACTCAGTCAGGTCTGGCACAATCTCTTGATTTAGCTATATAGCTTGAAAAAGCTATATAGATTTATTAAGCTATTCAGAATAGCTTGATTTAGCTATTTTATCACACTTTTTTCTTAAATGTGTTATTTTCTCAGCATGCACAAAAAGTCGCACCTTGGTGCAGTGATAATATTCAACCTTGAACTCTTCTGAAAATAATGCATGTAAAAATCACTCATCAAATTACGTCTCCTTAAGAGACTTTGTACTCAAAGTTGTAAAAGTTTTGGGGCTATATAAAGCAATTGATACAGTTACTTCTTCATTGAAATTATAAAAGACTATGGTCAACAAGATAATTGATTGGTAATAATTCAGTACAATGAGAAGCAATCATACTTATCCATGCTTCAACGCACACAAGATGGTGTATAGTTACTCAAACAATGGAAATTCATCTTTTGCTTAAAAGTATTCAAATGCTGCAATGTTAGAACTATCTTTGATTTCAGTTGTTGTTTTGATAGCCCATAGTACATATATGAATAGTCAAATACTTGCGACTTTTTGTCCATTTCTTACAAAACACATTTTTCTGAAAAACTGCACATAAATAGCTTTATCAAGCTATTTTGAATAGCTTAATAAAGCTATATAGCTTTTTCAAGCTATTTAGCTAAATCAAGAGATTGTGCTGGACCTGTCAATAGTTACCTTAATATCAGAAACAGTTTCGCTTCCTGCTAGCTGCAGAGCATGAGTCTCGCTACCCCGTACAAACAACTGCATTGTTTCTGAAATAACACAAAATACATAATTACTTGAATTATCCACAGCTTAGCTATCACTTGGATCAATTAAACAGAAAGTGAGAAGTTCATTACTTTGTTAATCAAGTATTTTAATTCCGCGAGTTTACTGATCCGTCATTGATGAAATATAAAAATGAAATATATGGGCTATAAGACAGTAATTTATTGACAAGATAAATGTTGCACAATATATGGTAAAATTAGCATTTATCTTTCCACTCTTACACGTGTTTTGTGCAATCACAAATGGCAGTCTAAAAAGGAAGTTCAAGAGCGCATGCGTACAAGCGGTTCCTAATCAACTCGTACCTGAGCAACTCGTACACACAGGCCTGAGGGCCAAAAGCTCACCTTTGAAATCACTTTGGTCCTACTGTGCAGAAAAAGAACATTTTGAAAAGAATTTCCTCTCTTTATATATCAAAAATAAAATGTTGACCCGATATTGTGGAATTATCCCATAATTTAAACAAGCTTATATCTTCACTTCCTCAGTATATAAATATCCTAATAATAACTTGACAAAAAAGTTTTCAAAAATAACTAAATTCCCTATTTATTCTCATGTATAATATGTATTTCTTTTGTGGTACCATACTATGTCCATAGCACAGGAATTTATTTCGGTAATAAATTTTTAACCCATAGTATAATAATAACTGTGTTGTTATTATTATACTATTTATGGGTAAAAAAAATATTACTGAAACAAGTGCCTGCATGTGGCCCAAAGGACAGGATTTGGAAAAAAAAAAAGAAAACTTATCTTCACTACCTGATTATGCTTTCATATTAATCATTGCCCTTTTGTTCTAAAAAAAAATATTTTTAGAGATTTCTTTCTAAACTTTGATATCTTTTTGTGCCCCCCCCCCCCCCCAAGATTTGAGCAAACTTGAACCTGCACTAACTAAGGATGCTGCTTGCATATCATATCATTAATCATGACCCGGCCTGCTGCTCTTGAGAAGAAGGGTTTAACACATTTTTTCACAATTATCTATGTAAAACTTTGATATCTTGAGGCCCCCCCCCCCCTTTCCACAGGCACTTGTTTCGGTAATAAATTCTTTAACCCATAGTATAATTATACTCCGGGTAAAAAAAAATATTACCAAAACAAGTGCCTGTGCCCCCCCCCCCCTCCCCCGGGTTCATGATTTAAACAAATTTGAATCGGCACTTTCTGAGGATGCTTGCATATAATATCATTACACATGCATGGCTCTTCTGTTCTTGTCCTGAGAAGATTATCTAAGATTTTTTCCTTTACATTCTTATGTGAAAGTTTATTCCCTACTGTGGCCCAACCTAAACCCCCGGGCCATGATTTGAACAAATTTGAATCAGCACAATCAGGCCTGTAGGAAGAATTTTCAGTTGGGGGGGGGGGGGGCACAGCCATACATTTTTCAGTTGACAGTTGAGGGGACACTAACAAAAATTTCCTGACAAACAAAAAAAAAAAAAGAAGAAAAAAAAGGAGGTCATCAGACGTTTTTATTGAGGGGGCACAAACTTATATCTATATATAGGCAAAATTATTGGGGGGGGGGGGGGGCGGTTCCTATGGACATGACTATACCTGATGATTCTTGTATATTAATATCAATAACAATTTCCCTTTTGTTCTTTAGAAGAACATTTTTAAAGATATTTTCCTATAAATATCTATGTAAAACATTGATCCCTTAATTGTGACCCACAGTACCCTATCCATGGAGGCCAAGGTTTGAACAAATTTGAATCTATACTACCTGATGATGCCTGCATATTAGTATTACTTTTCATAGCTCTTCTGTTTTTTTTTAAAGAAATTTAAAAAAAAAATTCTGCTCTATTCCTGTGTTAAACTTTGATCCCCTATTTTGGCCCCAACCCACCCCAGGAGCCATGAAATGAAGAAGTTACAATCTACACTGTATAAACAAGCATTTACAAAAATTTGCATTTTCTAACCCAGTTGTTATTGAGAAGAAAAATTTAAAACGATGACAATTTTTTTGGTATTTCTTAAATACCTCCCCTTGAAAGAGGGCATAACCTTTTCATTTAATATTAATTAATAGTTTACAGAGAAATCAAACAACGAAATGACAGACCCCGGACAAAATGTGTTCAGAAAAGTTGAGTTGCGCTATCAGTTCAGGTGAGCCAAAAACTTTCATATTATATGTATTGATGCATGTTGCAATTAAAATAATACATGGATTGGATACAGCCAAATGCTCTTCTGTTCATGCATCACCAAAATTCTAAGTTTAGAATTTAATTCAAAAATTTTGACTTTTGGTGTTTTTGGCAATACACTGAAATTTATTGATCCCCCCCCCCCCCCCCCCCCAAATATAAAGCAATTTTATTACATTTTTCATGGTATATTACCTAATATGTGTTTCGACACTTTAATTTGAAATTGAAGTGAAAGATGAAATTTAAAACGAATCACACTCTCATTTGTAATGTGTGTTAGTTTTGTCTTGCAGAAAGTTTCTGTGAATGAATCACCCATTCCATTTCACTTTTCCATTGCAAAAGCTCTTCTGGTCTATTAGTATAGAACTAAAAGCTGTTTACAGATTCTGTAAACAAATACATGTACCAATGATGTCCATAAACAAACATGGATGGATGAGACTTCATAGCCCTTCTGGTCTATGATCAGTAATGCTATTAAAATATAGGCTTCTAAAACAGGACACATCAGGCTATTTTTAATTCTCCCTCATCCAAGGATACACTGCATCACTGAAAATATGAGTTAAAACATACAGTGGAACCTTGTTAATCCAAACCCTTCATCTTTTGGACAAAATTTGTAACAATTTATAGGTTATATATGTAAATACCAAGTATGTTTAAGAAATTCAGACGTTTCACTCATCCAGACAATTTGCTTTGGAATACAAGCATCTGCATTCACGAGGTGCAATTGTACAGAACAAAGAACCAGAAGAGCTCACTACAAGTTTCTGATAAAGAACACTTTTTAAAGTAACTTTAGAGAGTGTCCCCCCCCCCCCCAGAAACTGATAGCGAGCACTTCTGTTTCTTTAAGTTGCCTTTTCTTACAGAAAATACACATAAATCATGAAAAAATTGTATTCTTTTCATGTACAAAAACAAAATACACTGATTTGTAATGTTAAACTTTTATTGACAAGTGTCATTTGATCGCAGTAAAACAAAAATGTATCCTTTTTGATCCAGTGCTCAGCACATGAACAAATCGCAAATGAGGAGAGGATGGCAAAAACTAACCTCAGAACCAGCGAGGGCATATGTAGCATTTAATCATTTATACCAAAAATTCTTCTTTTACAACTGACAAGCAAAATTTTACACATACCAAAGCAATCTAACAGGCATAACTTCTTACAATTAATATTTTAACTTTACAAAGTTTTCAATAGAAACAATGAAGTAAATTTCCCAATAATATGTAGTATGTGACCTTGTTATAAAGTGAGTACCTGAAGACAATGCCCAAATCATACGGATTGCAGTTTGTTATATTTTTCAAAAATATACTGGTAGATATTTTACCCTGTTGCCTTTCTACAAACCTGTACATGTAGATAAAGAGAATTGGCAATCTAATTAATACTACTGCCGTTTAAAAAAAAAAAAAAGACCATCAATGAAATCTTAGTATTGAAATTATTAAAAGGGAGGAAAGTCTGAGCCCAGCTGATATAGTACACATGAAACAAAAACAAAAAAAAGAACATTTAAAAATACAACCTGACATTATCAAACTGGTGGAAGATCAACACCATTTGCTAAAAAAGAGCAACCTTTAATTTATAACTGATTATTAAATGATGAACATTTTTTAAAATACTACATTAATTTTCTTCCAATATACAATCCATCTTTCCTATTAAATACAGAATAGCACAGTATAATTTTTATTTTACTACAGTTCAAGCTGGAATTGAGAAAAATAAATTTGAGATGATTGTGGGATGTAAAATAAAAATTTTTCTACAAACACATGAACATGTACATTGTACATGTATTCAATGTATTAATGTACATTGTACTTGTATTCAATGTATTATCAGGATTCTTAATTAAGAAAATTGAAGACTTCTGTCATTGCTTGGATTGAACATGCTAGTTAAACAGAGACCACAAGAGAAATGTACAAATATCCAACAAACCTGCTGGAATAAATATCATTTACACAAAACAATGCACAATCATAAAAGCCAGGATGTGATGACATCAGGGAGTAACCCATCATTCATGTACACCTATCAAAATCTATTTCTCAATTTATAATACTATGAAAATTGACTATGAAAAGCATAGCTTTCAGTTCTGTAAACATCATACCACATCATTCATACATGCTCAAAATGGAGATGCATACAAACACACTCTAAAAGTAAACAAGCTGATCAACAACTACACAAAATGTGACAAAAATGAAGAAAAGATGTTCTTCTTCTATCCTTCATCCTCTTCTTTTGGTCAACGATGTGGTCCACACTAGAGAAAAACACAACTGCTTTGATCAGGCAATGTTGTGTTGGTTTTTGTTTTACTTTCCATTTCTGATGGATAAATAGTCCGGGACCTTGAATTGCCGGCGTATATAAAACAAGATGTATGCCTTACATTTAGCCACAGTTTCTGGTTCACAAGGAGTCACTGTACTGTCATTAAAATGGAACCACTGACCTGGAACACAAAACATTAAGGGTCACATACAGTAAAATTTGTCTGCAGCAAACACATTAGGAAAGAAAATTCCTTTACATCAAGTGACATCCTGTTTATAGTAGTACAAAATGATGAAATGTTAAAATACAGTCAAACCTCATTATCTCTCAAACTCAATGGGACCGAGAAGAAACTTCGAAATATCCAAGGATTCAAGATTTGAGATATCGAGGGTAAAATACATAAAGAAGAAGTGATTGGGACTTACAAATCACTTCGACATATCCATGGTATTCAAGATATCAGAGTTCAAGATACCAAAGTTTCACTTTAAGAGATTTTGGATATAATGAAGCCATTTTAAATTTCCTTCCATAATTTTATCATGCACTGTCAACTAATAACTGTTGCAATAAAATTTAAAAAAAACAGACACACATTTACATATTTGTAAATGTACATTGTAATTTGGGACAAAGTGCAATTTCTTAAGACTGTGGAACTATAATTTCTTGTCAAAAATTGTCTCATTTAAATTATGTTTACATTTACTTCTGGATATCTCTTTCAATCATTACCTTCATGCCTGGCATATGATGTATAGTGACCTGATCCTGCTCTGTAAATTCAAACAAATAGAAATTAAGAAATACTCACTATGTAAATTAACTCAATTTATTAACATGAAACAAATACATATATACATATATGTATATTTAAGATTTACAATGGTGGGAGATATAAATCTTATTTGAAATAAGATGTCTTTGCTAAACACCAATGCTCTGAGAGTGACCTTTTCTAATGATAAACAGACCCTGATTATGCATTTTTTTTCTGCCAGTGACCTTGAACATGTCAAATGACATTGAGTCAAGGTTCTAACACAGCCTCAGCTCGAAAAAGTCCAAGAATCAGCATCCAATGTTTTTCACCACAAGATAGGAACTGACAGGAATTAAAGATTCTTGTAAAAGTGACCTTGTTCTTGCAAAAATTATGTTGGTTCAATGTCATGACACACCTTCTGGTCAAATATAATCTTTGTTTGAAGTACATGTATCAAGGTCCAAAATTTTTTCCATTAGAACCTTTTCCCCTGGGTCATCCTCAGATCATTACAGACCAATTCTAGGATGTGAGAACTTAATTTGGCCTAATTCACTGTCGGGTCTTATTGTAGTTATGAACTGGACATAAATAATATATATGAGAGAGGTTAAGCATTTGACCGTGTGCATCTACATGTACATGTAAACCTAGAAGTGTTTTTACAAGTACACGTAACTAACATCAAGTTCTGTTTAACAATCTGTACGTGTAGCGGTACGTGTAAAACTTCATTTTGACAAGTCACTTTACAATCCATTTGTATCAAATAATTCTATGGCTTTGATTAAAAAAGATACAGAGATGTACGTAATAAACTCTCAACATCACAACAAACACTGCCTGAAAAATAAATATTCTATAATTTGGGTTTAAGAAGCTACACGTTCTTTCCTACGTGTACATATGAATCTACACATTGTGTACAACTTGTAGAATTACGCGCTATGCAAAACTGATGACGAAAATCGCAGTAAATTAGGGGATTTCCCTAGCTACACGTACATGTAGAGGTACACGGTCATCTGCTTAACCTCTCTATTATTTTGAAAATGACCTGACCTTGGGTCAAGTCATAACATGCTTATGTCATAAGTAATATATGTGTGAAGTATGAACTTCCAATGTTTCTCCATTAGAATATTGTGGTTAAGACACAATTTTTTTTTTTTTTACACTTTTTTCTGCAAGACACCTTGAACTAGACCTTGAGTCAAGATCTTTACACACCCTCATATCATAAACAACTTTTGCCAGAAGTATGAACTTCAAATTTTCCTCGTATGTTTGTTCATTTGAAAGCTACGGACCAGACACGAATGTATATTTTGCCAGTGACCTTGAACTTGTCCAACTTGTTGTTGTTGCTGAACTTGTTGTTGTTGTTGAACTTGTCCAACTTGTTGTTGTTGTTGAACTTGTCTGACTATAGTCAGAATAGGTGACTGCTAAATATTAAAGCTCTCATATACATCTATAATTTTGCCAGAAAAATTGTCTAACTTGTAATTTTGTATGGTTCAAAATTTATTAGGAAGGTTAAAGTTTACAAATGACAGATCATCCAACTTAAGTTTCCTACCTTCATGAATAAGCATGTGGAATTTGACATGGTAAGATACATTTCTATGTCTTTATAGGTACACTTTAGAAGTGTCTCAATTTTTCCATGCAATTTAAAGACATGTTTTTGCCAAAAATATACTAAATATTGCATTTTTTAGATCTCTGATTTTAACAGACAGTAAAGGTTTGCTATAAAATTTCTAGAATAAAGGACTACATGTATAAACAACCTGTCTGTGACCTTGACACTTACCCTGACCCATGATGAACTACAACAGCTGCAAGGTCATACTCATTACTTCCTCCACAACTACCCCGAGTCTCATGCTATGAAATAAACAAAACAATTAATCCCAATCCCTAATTTTATGTTTCTAAATAATTTTTCATGTATAGACAATGTACTTTAAAGAATTCACACACCATGTTATCAAGAATATACTTGTGCATGTTCAAGCCTTCCAAAGGAAATTCTACAAATGTCTCCAATTTCACCCTGAAGAAAGACTGCCATCGAAAACGTTTTATATGTAAACAGAGAACCTGCAACAAATAAAGGAAACCTTGTAGAAAAAAAATGCATTTACTAAATTATGTAGATAAACTTTTTTTTCATTTTTTATGAAATTTCATTGGTTATTTTTATTCAAAACTGACATATGATTCACTCTAATCACAATTTTATATATCACAATAATTAACTCTGGTTGAAACTAACAAGCCGCTTGATTGGCTGAAAAATTAGTTTAAATTTTATAATATGTGTTGGCTTAAAAAATTAGTTTACATTGTATAATCTGTGTTGCCTACGTCACAAAATGCTTTAAAATTATATCAATCCATTTTTATTTTTGTACAACTTGAAGTCATTTTTAAGGGGAAATTCTTTTATTTTTTACATTACCTCCTAGAAAATTGAACTATAAGGAATAAATTTAATATCTATCTAAGTTATACTTGTATTACCTGGGATGGAACAATTTATGTTTTTTATAAACCACTTCATGGTTTATAAGGTTAACTTCTTCACTGTTTATAAGCTTTAACTGCCCCAACCAAGTTTATACAGTATAACTTGGGTAATTATTAAATTTATTTGTTAAACACATTTAAGCATTATTGTAAAAAATAACAGTTTATTGAATGAAGTTCATGATAAGAGAAAGTGAAACAAAAATATCAAAACTATAAGTGTGAACACTGGTCTTACATTTGGCAATCTCCTGATCCAGAATTTTTTGGTGGAGCGCTGTTTTTTCTTACAGTTGCTACACATATAGAGTTCAGATTCTTCAAGTTCCTCGAGGTCAGTAAAACTTTGTAAACAATCTGAAAGTATGTTACATATTATTGCAATGCCAATACTAAATCATCATATATAATGCATGAAGAAGGTAAGAACTAAATCTGTTAAACTCTTGTTTAGTGTGAGGTATCACCTGAGAGGGTACACCTTGGCTGCTCTCCATCCTTGGCTTTGACGGTTCTGTGACAAAACTGTTGTGGTATATCAAGAGATAAATCTGGTCAAATTAAAAAGAAAATAAGTATATAAATATACATGTATTAATCATAAATATTGACATCTTTAAGTTTATAAAAACAATGGATATTTAGCATGGTGTATGTGTAAAGTTTTGGACTTGACCAAAGTGCAAACCCTGTAATTATATACAAGTGCTCAATATTACCGTATTTGGCTGAATATAATACGCACTTTTTTCCCAAAATAATTTTCTGTGAGAAAGGGGTGCGTATTTTACACCACAATGGGATTTTGATAGGTTTTTCTTTCATGTGAAACACGGCTATCATACGCACATACCGTAGTATTACCTAGAGACTTATGCAATTTCTTGCTGTTTTTCGCCGTATTTAAAACTTCAGAAAGTTATTGTTGGAATGTAGGCTTGTTAAAAATGTTATATTTATAACCTTTTGATAGTTAAATTAAATTTAAAAGCAAGTTAAAATTAATTTGAGCTGCATGTTCATCGTTTCCGTGTAGGCCGCCATTAACGATGTTATTTATAGATGTTCACACATTCCTTTGCCACGTGCTTCCGTAATCATAGTACACATGTACCTAATCAGTCAGACACCGGTCAAAAAAGTAATAAGTCATTTTTTAATGAAATACAATAAAATAAAATTTATTTTAGGTTTTAAATAACTCAGTGAAAATTCATTTCAACATAAACACCCCTCTATACGTCCCAAAGAATAGAAGCCAATGTTGTTAACACGTGCGCTTGTCACTTGATAATTACCCCTCAACACCCCTCCAGGCAATTAAATTGTTTACAAACTCCAAAGCATTGTTTTTACAGTTAGAGCACTGATTATTTACTGCCCTTATTAATGGCTTTGATTATTTTCTTTGTTAAAAATCGGGGGTTGGTTTATGATCTTTCGTATGTGATTACGACACATTAAACAGTTATGAAAATAAGATATCCACGAAGATTACCTCGATGTATGAAGACATATATCCCACCTTTGTACATCATTTTTCACAGCTTTGGAGGTGTGTTGATAATTTTGCACGCTTGTTAAATTTGATTTTATTTTTATAACATCAGCTAATTATTTAATTAATTAATTTCAAGTTCAAAAGAGGAAAATCGTAGTCTATGAATACTTTGACGTTGCAATATCGCTTGCCCTGTTAAATTTACATATTTTTCAACATGATTACCTTAAACTAAAAATGAATATGACAACTGTTAAACTTGTAACAATATCTCGTGCTTTGTTGAAATAAAATTATTTCTACAAAGAATAGTTAGAATACGGCGACGTATAGTTTCAATATCACCGTATGCTAAAAAAATTAATAATAAACCCTGTTAATACTTTAATGCAACATTATCTCGTGCTTTGTTAAAATAAATAATTTCTCCAGATTGCCGCGATATGGAAAGTCAAGATTAAGAAATAAAAACGCATTTGAATAAAATATCGTGTTCTGTAAATTTTCGGCACTTTATCTCCGCGCCGATTTTCATAGCAAATTACCGCGACTTTCAAAAGTTCAGAACACCGCTTGGTCAAATTTTCTGCTGCGTATAATACAACCGAACTGCGTTTTTTCCCCAGTTTCAGGCTCAAAAAGGGGGGTGCATATTTTACACCAATGCGTATTATATTCGGCCAAATACAGTACTTAGGGAGTATACTAATACACTGAAAAAAATATTTACATTGATACTGAAAATCTCACACACCTAGAAAAGGATCATGTTTTTTAGACTCCACCCCACATTCAAGACACTTGACTTCATTTTGGAGGAGGCCTCCAAAAATAGCCGTGACTATGGTGCTCTTGCCCTTGGGTCCAATAAATGGGCTGTCACTGTTGGGGTAGGGCAGGAGAGTCAGCAGTTCTGTGTGGAGACGGTCAAGGAGGTATCGCATGAATTCATGGGCATCTTGCTGTTGGTATCCCCTATAATAAAGAAATTCCTTCCTCAAATACAATGTCACTGTCATCATCAAATTTGTAGATGATTTCTTTTTTTTTTTTTTTTTTTTTTTTACAGATGAACCCACTAAAGAGCAACTTTCTCAAGGGTCAAGAGGTCATGATGGGACATAAGTCAAAGCTTGACACAAAAAATTACTGTAACAGCAGAATGGGTTGTTGATGTAATATTTCTATTTGAATGTTTACTTCAAATGTAGTAATAAATAATAATGCTACAAAGTTTACTGGGAAATATACTTCATTGGTATATGATCAAATCTACTGAGAAGCCCTTGGGGTTTCACAGGATTTAATAATGTGACCAACCAAGTTCATTTCACACTGAGCTTTTCAACATTGTTATTTATTTCTTAATTACCTACTTTGACAAATAAATTAAAGTTATTTGGCCTGTATTCAAATATCCGAAATTGTAAAGGTTAAAGTTCTGACAAGATAGACAAAACTCCTTTCTCAAGATTGTTGAGGCACACAAACATTTTAACTACAGAAAATTGGCCTCTTTGTTACCTATTTTATGTATTCAGAGGCCCTGTTATAATATTATTCTGAAGACCATTTTTGTTGTTTATAAACACATACCTAAACCTGGGAACAACCTTCCAAATAACAGCAAACAAGGATTCTGGAGAAATGGCACCCTTTGAGCCTTGCCATAAAGCACATAGGGTTTTCCTCAGTTCTTCAACCAATAAGCTACAACACAATATATGGTGTAATTACATATCCATATGTATCACAATACGAAGTTTGAAAAAAAATACATTCTCTAAAACAGTTTTTTAAAAACTGATCTAAATGCAAAAAGGGAAATGTGAGGTAAGGTCAAATAAAAATTCCTGCTAAGAATTGTTTTACTCATTTAAAACGCTCTCAACTATATTTTATCATAATATGAAGTTTGGAAGTTTGAAGAAAATGTCTTTAGCAGTACCTTAGAAACTGAGCTACACAAAAATGGGAAAAAGTGACATCAATGTTTATTGGAATGTCAAGGCCAGAAAATTTTGATAAACTCCAATTACTCACATTAATTTGTGTCAAGGAATGAAGTTTCTTGAAAATTTTCTCTGAAACTGAGCTAAACACAAAGTGGGTGGGGGTACAGACAGACAGCAGGACCAAGGAATGGAAGATGGACATGACAAATCACTATACAGCCATGTCCATGGTGGGGCATAAAAAGGTGCATTTCAAAGGGTATCTTTAATATCCTTACATATCCTCCTCTGTTGTTTTTGAATTTCTTGTCTGGACTTTCTTGACTTTTGTTGCCTTTTCTTCTAAGGATGGCAATTGCTTGATATAGCCACAAAACTGTTGAATGTTGCTAAAAATAAATAAATTCTCTGTAAAATTGAAATTTATAAAGTTTTTGTCTCAAATTCTCGGCAAAAAGCAGAATTCTCTTTCAAAACATACTACAGCAAACATAAATCACCTAAGAGACTGTAATACTGCATTCATAAAACATGTGTTTCCCAGATTCCGTAATCCTGATGACCTTGGCTTCCTTAGCTGAACATCCTGTACAAAAGATGTATAAAGATTTCATTATTTTCGTACCTAAAAATAGATGAATGTAGATGCATTGCATCAGTCAAGAAATATGGAATTGTCTGCATTCACAACTTTGCGAATTGTACATACCGTAAGTTTTGGAAGATAGGACGATACTTTTTTTCTCAGAACCGCTGGGGTCGTCCTATTTAACGAATCGACCTATCTAAGGCCCAAGTTTACGAAAAGTGCCCCAAAATCAGTAAAATTTATGTCAATTTTAAAGCAAATCTGTGCCATTTTAGTATTTTTTAAAATTACTTTACCGAGAAAAAAATAAACAATAAAGAATTAAATATTTATTCCATTGATTTCTTACAAAATAAGTTCCATTAAGTATCCGTCGATGTACAAAAAAACTTATTATATCATCAATAATGTCTCAAAGTATATTTACAACATGCTGTGTCCATCTTGTGAAGTTGGAAGTCGCAATCGTTTACTAAAAATAAAACCGCAACCGTATCAAAGTTTAAAATACGGAGGAGTTTTCACAATCGCAATTGAATTTTTTTTTTTACCATTTATTTGTAACGATTAATTGAAATAGTATACCTAAATATTTTTTCATTGTCTTGTGATATTTATTTAAATGTAAAATGTGTGAAATAAACTGTTGCCGGTAAATTCCTAAAATTATTTACCAAATATACCGCTAGTCATAACTATTTTGTTTTATATTCCAAGGGGTACACCGAATTATACAAAGATTGGCTTCTAATAGAATTTTAACTGTCTGTCAGATAGAGGGATATACACTGTGTACACAAAGGTGTTAACACCTGTTGGTTTAAACACCTGCGGGGCATGATTAACGGATCCACGTGCCGTTACAGGGCATCATTGAACAAACAAACCTGTGAAATTCCTGACTCTCAAATTAATTTTTTTACAACAATATCTCAAGCAAAATTATAGCATGTTAATTAATATGATTAATTTCAATTGCTCACTGTTACATGTAATAGTCATTTGCGTGTTTTAGCAAATCCCTGGACAAGAAATATAAAAATGGCGGTCATCGCACTTAATATTGTACCCCGGTAAATAATGTCGGAATAAAAGAATGTGTCCACGATGTTCTAAAATGGAACTGATTATTGTCTGATTTCGGGTATTTCCCTAATTATAGCTGTTGTATACTACCGTATTTATGTGTTTAACGACGGAGTCAAACAACGACGGCGTTGAACAGGCAAGTTGGAGAAAATGCGTTATATCACAATTCAAGGAAGTTTTAACTATGCTTGTGTAAAACACTATTAAAATGCTGTGCTCATACAAATACCAGTTTATTTTCTTCATATATTAATATCAGGGGTTAAGTTAAAGACCTTTACATGTTCTGATACGTAGTTTCTACGTAAGAATCTCTAGAAAGTCGATAAACAAAGCCTCGTCCTATCTTCCAAATCGTCCTATCTAAGGATTTTTTAAAAATTACGGCTGAAAATGAGCCTTGCGACCTATATACCCCATCGACATATACCCCAAAACTTACGATAAATCTATATTTTTAACTAACTACCCATGGTCAACAATGTTCATTTCATTCACACTAAGTTCATTTTGCCAAATGAATACATGTATGTTATATACTCTCATCCCTCTTTTGGGTTCCAAACTACCGTAGCTTAATTAAAGACATCAAATATATTAATGCTTGCATACATGTTTCAATTTTACAAATTAAAACATTATTGTTTTTTTCAAATAAATTTATAACTTTCAATGTAAATTTCTGAATCCCTATTCCAGTTCCACCCCCGCCCCCTTCTCCTGACTTTAACAATATCGAACCTCCACTATGTAGGTTGGTTTGTATATTAATTTACTATTATAAAGCTGTGCTGTTCTACAAAGAACTTAGAAGGTAAACATTGTTTTAAGAAATTTCCTAGAAATTCCTAATACAGCTTCTTTGCCTATCCTGGGCCAAGGAGATACTTAACAAGAATCTGCACAGCATCCATTATTTTATACATACAATACATGGTGATGCTTGTATTAATCTATTTATAGTCTTGATGTTCTGTAAAGGATGATTATTCTAAAGACTTCCTAAACATTTACGTTCTTATGTAATATGTAAACCCCTACTGTAGGAAATGACTCAATAAACTTGAATTTGCACAACATGGATATGCTTGCATGCAACTTTGACTTGTTACTTCATTCTATAGAACACATATTTCAAAGCATCTGACAGAAGTGACTAAACCTTTGGAATATTGTTTCTATGCATGTACTTTTTTCTCACCTTTTTCATCTTCTTTGTTGACCTTTCATTTTCCTGAGAATCAGTTGAACATCTTCTTCTTGGCTTTTGTCTCATACATGCCTGCGCACTGTAAAATAAATATAACAATATAAACATCAAATCACTGAATGCATTTTTGAGAAGTGCCACTGCAAACTGCAATGACAACAATACACACACATGCATTACTGCAAGTCTATACTTAGAAAGTTTGCCCAATTTTTCATATTTTAAAAGCTACCACAGGATATAAATATAATATCTAATAGAGCATTGCGGTTGCAAACACAACACATGTACCAGAGTTGTTTAAATTTGCCTGTAGAAAATTACATTCTTTCATGTTATAGTGGTTATAAGTTTTACTTCTATTTTAAATTCATGTCCAAAAAAAAAAACAAAACAAAACAAAACAACAACAAAAAACAAAACAACAACAAAAAATACATATACTTTGCATATTTTGTGCAACATTTTCTCATTTTTAAACCAGGCACTTTGTGAATCATAAAGCCAAAATTGTTTATTTCCTTTGGACACAATGTTTTACTCAACATCCCATACTATTTATAACTGTTCATATAGTCCAATAAAAAAGTCATTTATGATTTAATTTTTTTCACTTAGAACTTTTTTAAGTTTTACACCTGCATATTTTACTTCACAAATATTGATAATGATTATTAAAATATAAGTGGTCATTTTCCACAATATCATCTGTGTATGTTCAAAATTGATAATATTATAAATCAGAATGGCTTGACAAATTTTCAGATTCGTTTGCATTGTTCCTAAAAACAGAAGTTTGATGATGATGGCAAGTACAGTCCGACTAAAACCCATTAGCATTATTCACTTACAACTGGTTACCAAAGTTATATAGAGTGTCCTTAAATAGTTGTGGGATTTCACTGTGTATACCTGGTGATGGACTGCAGCTGTTTGCGGAGCTTCTCAAGGTGGCCTGGAGTGGTATCGTTGATAACGAACTCATCACACTTATAACTGCAAAAATATATTAACTTCACTTTAAAAACAAACAACCCAAAAAAATACATATATTTACTTCATTAAAAAAAAAAAGAACTATGGGTAAAACGAACGTCACTTTTAAACACTAATGATGTGTATATTGTGTATCTAATTCTTTCAGTTCATGCATTTTCATCATGTTCATATTATTTAACTTCCTCCCAGTTCCATAAGAAGAACATCAACCCTAGAAAACTGTCATTAATTACCAAAAGACAGCCAAGTTGTCGCAATCCATACACACTGCATGGTTTGTTGACTCTTCATGGTGGAGCTTGGCATGTCCATTTACATATCTGTGGTTAGACGGCAAAGAGTTAGAAAGAATGACGAAACAAAATTACACAACAAATGCTTTGAAAATCCCCATCTTACATAATAGTTCTAAATTTCCACTACAACTGCACTCATCATTCAAAATGAAAAATACCTTAATGTACCAAAAACATTGTTAAAATTTACTCTATTCATACATATAAATATGCATGTTAATTGTTAGTTTCCAATACTCTATATAAATATTTGCACAATTCTTTTTAAATACTACCCATTATAATCTATAGAGCTAAATGAAATTTATTGATTCACACAAGATATTACCATTTTGTCACTGTAGATTATAATGAACATGATATAATAAAGAATTTTACAAGTCAAAGAAACCTACACAATGGATACATAGAACTGTCACAGTGACAAAAAAAGGGGGGGGTCCACATAAAAAATTCTTACCTCCCACAGTGGATACGTCCACACTTCACACAAATCCATGGGCTCTGTTCTGTTTTACAAACTGGAAAAAAAATTCAAGGATTGAAATGGAGTTATAATAAATGCCACAGCATTTTACACATATTCATTCAGTGTGTTGATTAGACCAAGCCTTGCTTTGTTACTCATGGTATTCAATTTCCCAATGACAAAGACCATCTCATGCAGGTGCAGAGACAGTTCAGCGTTCAAAATAACTACACTGGGCTGAAGTTAACCACATCCACTGTCAGTCAAGACTGGTCAAATAGTTCACCAGCAGGTCTGACCAGAAATGCAGTCGAGTGATTTCTTGTTATTATAATGAAAAGCTAGCTTTAACAGTGGTTCAATATTTACTAAGAAATTTTGAGTTATTTTCACTGACTCATTCACACTCACTAAATTCTGCCATTGGTCCTCTTTATTAAAATAAATAATATGTTTTCATTCAAACACCGGAGTGAGTGTACCTCATAAATTTTAGCAATCTGCTAATGTATAAGAGTTGATCAGATTTCACAACACTTTAACACTAACAAGTCAAAGGAATTATGCAAGCTTTAAGGCTTTAAGACAGGAAAATTAGCATAGTTACTGTATGTTATATGATAATCCAAATATTACAAATAATACACAATTTAGTTTTGGTGAAATAATTACTGATTTAGTTGCAGAGATTATAATATACATGCAAGTTTCATTAAAAAGGATATGTATTGACCTGTTAAATCTATGGCATAATATATTTAAGTCTAATATTACATAATATATCAAATCTTGTTTTCGGTGGAGAAAATAATCAATGCAAAGTACTGTGATTAAATACCATGGGAACTATGAGAATTAATTAGATTTATATTCACTGAAATATAAAACTCTGGAATACTGAGATGTCTAAAAGGGACAATGTATAATTTAATTAAACACTGTAAAGTATACATTAAAATAATTCCACGTCCATAACAGGCATAACCTTCCTGCATGCTAATAAAAATTATTAAAAGGGGGGGGGGTCTTTTCATATTGAAAAATGACTGTTATGGGTGCACATAGGGACATGGACCCTTTCAAAACTACTCAGAATATTATCATATATAGCAATACCAATTTACTACGTCATGCCCAACTATCATCAGAAGTATGGTGTCACTGTGGATCTAAATTCCACTTTTGACATTATACATATGCTGCATGCATCGAAATTGAGTGTTTAGAGATCAATTTCTATACAAAGAACCATTTCAGGAGCTTTGTTACTACGTTCCCAGTCAATTACTAAATTCACAGCCAGAAAATTTCCTCGCCCGTAGTAGTAAAAGATTCCCCCAAAATACTGAAGCTTGAACCTGCATTCAATATTCATTCATAACTTGTCATTAAAAATTATTCTTTCCAAATCCAACATAAAACTGTGACTTAAAGGCCTACTTTGTGCAAAAAAATTTCTTTTGAATTAGTGTACTTGAATTTAGTTTATTATTATACCGGCTTCTTCAGTATTTTTCATAAACTCTTTCTTTTGTTAGTTCCTATCAAAGGTTATAGAGAGTTATCGACCTTACTTTTGATAGACACACTTCAATACCTCTAGATTGATGTTTTTTAATAACACATAGAAAATACATCTATTCATTTAAGTTGCATGGAATACTCACCACCACAAAGAAATCGTGAAGGTAGATTCTCACTCTTTATATTCGGTGTCGTTATGCAGGCATTGTCTTCTAAATGAGGGCACTCCATGAAATACTAAATTCGGATTATAATGCACCTTGTTCGGAGACCATATAAGGTTTTTCTTTAATAAAACTGTAAGATCTGGAAAATTAATGCATTAGGCAAGAGGAAAAATGGCAAAATATTTTGAATTTCGTAGTGCTCAAACACGTAACAGACACTCAAAGAGTGCGAACATAATGCCCATTCAGAATCGTCAAAAATTTTGAGCAAAATGTTTTGAAAATAAATGTCATGTAATGAGAAATAGCTGTAAAAAATGAAAGATTATACACGGGGTCTTCAAATTACTTACACTGTAATTTCAATCGCAAAAACACCAAAAATAGAAATTATTAACAGACCTAAATTATTATGGCGGACTGATATGCGTAATGCGCCGTATTTCCGGGTTTCAGACGGGTCAAGCAGCACGCGGTAAATGTAGTACCCTCTCTCTCTCTCTGATTTTGAATACATTCGACATACATCACACTTATATATATAGTCTAAAATTATGTTTTAGATTTGGAAACATTGGAACCGGATAGTTCAACCCAATGCCATTTTGAATAAAATTCTTTTTGGAGTGCTTTTAAAAATATGGCCAATGACGATTTTAAATTTAAAAATTAGTCGTGTACATTGAAATATAAACAAGAGACCCTTGGGCCACAACTCTCACCTTGGTCCGACTTTTTTCTTCAGATATTTATGTTCCCCTTTTTCCTCATGAAAATTTTTGACCCAATGTGGCCAAAAACTTTACTCAGTTGGTCATGACTTAGTACCGAAATATTGAATCCGCACACCATGGGATGAGGATGCTTAGAATTCAATATCAGTATTCATAAAAAAGTTTAAGATAAAGTCTACGAACAGGGGCATAAAAACACGGACCTATGGAAATTCCAGAGGTGGGATCAGATGCCTTGGAAATGCAAATATTCCCTGTCGACCGGTCACACCCGCTGTGAGCCAAACGTATTGATCAGGTAGACGGAATAATCCGTAGGCAATTTTAGTATAAAAACAAAGGCCAAACGATTGGTTTGCAATATGTAATACAAAATACAACCCAAGGTTGTATTTGCTAACGACCATAGAATTTACAAAATGTTGACTTTAAGCGAGTTGAAATTCCTTTAACTCCAACTTATTTGTCAGTAGCTTGCCTCAGTTTTAAAAATTGATCGTACTATTGATTATCGAATAAGTTTTGGGACGTAAACACCATATGCAGGTGATTATGCATGGATTATTACAACATAAATAAAGAAGGTTAACAATGGAAAAGCTGAAGGCATCTCGTTTGTCATACAATTAGTTGTTAGTTGGACTCTATCGTCTATAGTCAGTAAAACATCCAAACATGAAACAGATGAGGCAGACTCTGTGGTGTATTTTTTATTTGAGTTCACTGGGATATATCATTCGAATCGACATATGAATGGAAATAACTATCGTTAATTAATAAAACGTCGTCTGTATAGCTGAATGTCGAGTTGAAGGCCACAGCAAGTGTTCTCGTCTTATGTAAAGGTTATTGAATAAATTCTGCTTTATAGGAATATAAAAATATGTCGGCTAATAAAGGAACACAAATCAGTGCCCATGGAAATTCCAACAGATCGTTGGAAGACCTGGTCTCCAAAGACACATATATGTTTTCAACATGACCTTAAGTTGCTCTAAAGAAGATACTTGTAAAAGTTTAGACCCCATCCAGCCCCTTTTGAACTCCAAGGTTCCCGATTAGAAAAAAATGAGTCCACATAATTTCGGAATTTTTACAGTTTGCCCCTTTTGTGCTCTTGATTCTTTTAAATTTCTATATATATCTCCGATTCAATATTACAGCCCCATCCTAAACCGTGGTTGCGCACACTTAAAACTGCAATATTTGAGGATGCTTGCATACTAGTATTAATATGTATTGACTAATCATGACCCATTGTTTTGAGAAGATTTTTCCCCATATAGGCATATATTCCCATATCAAACATATTATGGACATACTCTACCTCTGGAGACCATCTGAATCTACCTGTCAGAGAATACTTGCTTATTAATATGACCAATTCTGGCTTAGCTGTTCTTGAGAAGAATTTTAAATGACTCTATCTTATTTTTGCTTTTTTCTTCATCAGCTCCTCTTGGAAGGATATATCGCTCTAAGGAAAAGATTGAATCCCTTAACACCAAACACCAAAGCATATTCTTTATTAAGTTTCGCTGATATTAGCCAAGTAATTCTGGAGTCAGAATTGAGATGAATTTGGGTTAAGTTTACACCTACAATAACGACAACCATTCGTTAATGTTAACCATCTATCATGTTGTAAATTTTGAAATTACTAGGGGGAGGTAAATGCAAAATTTACAACATGATACATCTTCGATTTTCTATCATAACAAACGGAAAGGTATCATCGAAATATTTTGGGGTTTGAAATGGACATTTATCCTCATTAAATCCGTATCCTTCATATTATTCTCCGTGTGTTCTGAGAAATCCTTGATTACTAAGAATATTTCACAGTAATATGTGGACAATAATGGAATATTTCTGATCCATATTTCCTTAGATTACTGCAAGATAGTTTAGTCGACAAGCATCTTGTACATGTCAACATACAACATAATTATGTTGGCATGCAAGAAAAACGTGATATGATAAAATTTTAGGAATTTTTATTAAAATATGAAATAATGCCCTCATGTATGTGGTGTCCACATGCGAATTGCAATTTACTATATGCTGACATGTAGTCTATTTATGTTGACATCCAACTTATTCATGCTGCCATGCAATTTAAATATGCTGACGTACAATTTGTTTAATTTGACATGGATTTTATTTAAGTTGAAGCCCAACTTATTAATATCGACAACATCAACCATTTGTTCACTTTATAATTCATACATATATCATTTCATATAAAAAAAAAATAAGTATAACTAGACTCTTGTTGCCATGGCAACAAAAAAGTCTTCCGTTCTTCTGAATCTGTGAGAATTTGCTTCTTTCTGTGTAAAAAACATACATATCATATTTACTGTGAAAGAAAAAAAAACTGGGAAAAAAGTCCTTTCAGTACTTAAGGTACTTTGATTTTCATTATCAATCTTGTATAATACATTTGGCACCTATAAGAGATATACGTATATCATTACCAATTTAAAAAAAAAATTGTTTGCAATCATTTCTAAGACAAACAAACAGACGAACGAACAGACGAACGAACACCGTACTATCATAAACTTCACTGTGTGTATGTCTTGGCATAATTGTGTTGGTGTTATAAAAAATATAATGAATTAAGTTAGTATCACATTAAACGTAAAGTCACTGAGTTTTGTAAAGTTATAATATCAAGATTTGACAGCATACCTATAAGACAGGTTATTCAATTACAGTAATTCTTCAGCAATCGATTGATTGATTGATTGATTATACGTATGTTGTTTAACGTCCCTCTCCAGAATTTTTCACATGGAGACGCCACCACTCGCCGGTGGAGACTGCAAATGTTTGTCCTATGCTTTAGCACTTATCGCAATTGAGCAGTGAGGAATCTTTTTTATGCCAGCACCTTCTGCGATAAGGGACCTCGATTTATACGATCTCATCCAAAGGACCGGTCTCCACGTCCCACAATCGAAGTTCATAATACCGAGATATTTTATTTTTTATTTTATTCTATTTTTTTCACAAGTTTGTTGCATCAGATTTACTTAAAGATCATACTTCAATATCATTTCGAACTCAGGCTACTTAACTGCAGTGCGTACAGCGTCAAGTGATTTTGATTGACAGGTCAACACACGTGCACTTCGTGTGATACTTTTTAAGCTGAAAAATATACAGGATGTGACCATGACTGACTATGAAATCAGAAAACATTTAATAAAGAATGGGTGTGACCGATATAGAACTAATTTTTGGTCTATGTAAATGGGTAGGAGGATCGGGATTAAGAGGGAATCTCTCTCTCTCTCTCTCTCTCTCAGACGTAAATTGAACATTTCATAATGACAAAGCTACCATTATAGAATATGAAATTCTGTATACATGTAAATGGTAATTATATATATTCACATGTTCCAGATTTAAATTTAAAACGAATATATAATTCAAATGCCTAGCTGCACGAGCGTCTCCAAATATTAATCAAGACGGGGGGGGGGGGGGTTCAAAGGAATTAGATAGTTTTATGTTTTATGAATTATAAGGAAAAGTACGGACGTCAGTTGCATGAACATAATTATATATCATTGCATAAAATTGTGTTCATTCAGGTATACTTATCCCACATATCAACAGACCTGTGCAATTTTTTTTTTCATGTTTTTTTTTTCAAAAGAAACATATAGCGTACCATTATTTCACACAGAATCGCGTTTTCACATATCTTTTTAAAACTCTTTGAGTATTTCACAAGAATCCAAGAATCGTCTTTTCACATATTTTATAATTCCTTGGGTATATAGAGTATAGATCATGTGTCATAAATAATTTAACTTTTTATCAAATATACATGTATAACAAAATCTAATCTATAGATTGATTTTCTTTCTTTTAAGTGGCAGATATCAATTTATTAATAAAGGCTTTAAAACAGTACTGTATTACAATTTTCTATCGCTCAGTTCCTGTTTGAGTGTATGTAATATTTTTCAATATCGATCGGAAATCGGGATAATTTCGCATTCAAATCATAGAGAATAATAAATCGTCTGCATTATAGAAGGCTTATAACTATCGTATTCTGAACTTACTATACGAGATAGATAAAATTGCATGCCTGTCCATCACTATAAATGTATATTCAGTGCTTATAATATATTTGCTTGAATTAGGTACCTAGCATATATATATATTTTTTTTAGATATATTCATGTGTAAATCAATTAACTGTCAATACAGACTTACACTACACTGGCAACTTTAAACTATACATGCACTGGAAGCGGTAACTAACGTACTCTTACATTTAGAAGAGTGAATATGGAACGTCTAAATATTTTGATATGGAGAGTGTATATGTCTCTGACGTCATCGATACTATTTCCGCCTTTATCTCGAAAGTTCTATTCTCACTTACAAGTCAGAGTTATCTTTCTTTGCCCATTGTATACACACTAGGTAAATGGGGAAAATGACGGTACCGAAAATCTAGAAAATGCGCAATCCAATTTTAAAACAAATTATATATTTAGTATTTGTAGAATAACCTCTGTTACACATAATAATATCTTGAAAAAATATTAAAAAACAAAAAAGTTGAAAATTGACCAAACACAAATTCACTTCCGGTTCGGACAGGAAGTACCGGAAACACACGAAAACAACTTCGAAACAAAGAGAATGTCATGATCTAATACTCCTGTAAATTTCACATCTTTACCTCAAACCGTTTTCGAGAAAAATTCCGGACAAAAGTCCATTTAAAAATTGGAAATTCGGCCGTAACTTCGGACCGGAAGTGAATTTTTCAAAAAACGGAATTTTATATAAACTTCATATATCAGCCTACTATCATGTGAAAAATTGTGAAAATCTATCCAACCATCTCTGAGTAATCGCGCTCACAAAATTTGGGAGGAATAATAATAATAATAATAATAATAATAATAAAAAGAAACAATACAATCACTATAAGTCTTCCGTTGTGAACGGAAGACTTAACTAATTAATTATTATTAATACCTCTTCTTATTAGTACATTTTCAGCTATAGAGACAACAAATAACTTCTGTCTTTCCAGCACAACTATAGACATTCTTGCAAGAGTTTCATCGCGACATAAAAATACGTAAGTGTCGACAAAAATAAGTTGAACGTCAACATACCTAAATTGCAACCCGCTTATGGAAGTCACATATATGGGAAACATTTTATTTTTATGAACATTTTACTAATACACACTGTACTTCGCCAGTAAAATTTTTTCTTCCTTCAATGCATGTCAGTATACATTGATAGTCACAGACCCCATAATGTGATAAAGGTCATATGCTGACCAGGTATACAAATTCAGACAAGTACTAGAGAATAGAGATGAACAGAAGTCTCCTATCAACATCAACGTTATTGAAAGCTTTTGACATCGTCAATCAGACATTGCTTTGCTATCTCACTGACACCGAGGCATGCAAGATACAACGAGCAGTCTTACAAAACAGAAATTGTCTTCTTAAAATCAATACCACCAAAACTAAGATTATGGAAAGGTAATTTCAGAGAATTTGTGTCCCCCAGTTAAGGGAAAAAAAAAAGAAAAGAAAAGGTATAAGAACTGGAAAAATATGCAGATGGTGAAAGAAAAAAGGTCAACCTTGACCTTTCAGCTTTTGGCCTTACAGTCAATAGGAGTCTTTTTAAGTTAAAGAAATTCGAAACCTTATGTTTCATTGCAAAAACTTACAGAAAGCAGAACATTAATTTTATTGACGAAAACCCTGCTGATGAAGAACAGAAGGGCAATATATACTCAGGTGAGCATTGTGGCTCATGGGACTCTTGTCTTTTTGTTTCTACTATTCATATATGAATTGTGATATACAGATCCGTTCAAGTCCATAAAATCAAAATTATTATCTCATGCCATCCTAGCTGTTACTTTCTAGAAATTATTTTGCCGTACGATTATTTCCGTTTTAACATCATCTTCACAGCTTTTATTTGTGTGCCGTCATCGAACATCGGACTCCAGGGGCGGATCCACTCGGTGGTGGCGTAGGGACCGGTCAGGAGGGCCTGATGACAATTATTGTACCACCACCCTCCCCCACCGGACAGAGTTGCGCAGTTAGCGGAGGAATTCTGATCCTGATCCCTATCCATTGTGCTGAATCCCATAGAGTGGACCTGAGCAAGAGATGAAGGGGGCGTCATTGCATTACCTGTTAGGAGAAAAAGAATATTTTATTCAAACCAAGAAGTGTCCATAGCTCTTTTAAAATGCTTCAATCTGAACCAGATATTTTATTTCTAGTGCATGAGCCAAAGTTTCCATGAAATAGACTGGTAAATATTGCATCAAAATGTTTTTTTTTTTTGTTTTACGTTCAATTTACAAAGTGGAAGATGATGCTTTTATGAGTTTTTAGCTTTTGCCATGTACATTGCTTTGACGCCACGAACGTCAGGCAGATTAGGGATAAGTTTTTTCCCATTGTGCGAAGCTAAGGATTGACAACTAGCCAGCTAAATTTTGTGCAAGCTGACTTACATCGGAATTTTTGTTATCTGCATTATAACAATAACAATCGGTCATATTACTGATGCAAAACATTAATGTGTTTACTTCTTTTAGTTTTATTTATTTATTTATTTACATGTATTTTTTAATGCAACGCTTTATTCCCCCCCCCCCCGGTTTATCAGTTAAAATGTTTCTAAATTAATGGAGAAACCTCCCATCCCGGAAACACGAACTCCTCTTAAAAGGTAAGAAGAGTCATGTATCTGAAGAAAATAGTCCTAGGAAAGTGCCCTCTCCTCTACCTCCCCCCACCCCCCTGCATAGTGTAAAATCGCAGAAGAAAAAAAAACTACACCCTGCCCGCTACATGTACCCGAAAAGACAAATAATTTTAAAATGACAATTCATTGTAGCTTTGAAAAAAAATATTCCACAAACCTTGTCATTTTCTTGATAAGCAGCAATTCAAAAAAGATAATATGTTACCCAAGGTTCCCGTGGCATCTCCAATGTACAGTTTGTATCCAGTAGCTTCGCTGGACACGTAAAAGTGATCATAGATCTCGTAGAAGACAGAACCATTGGCGTGAGTTATCATGACGTATAAGAATGACGCGGACAGATTGTGGATCATCTCGTTCCCTGTAATTTAATAAATAACATCCTGATTTCAAACCACTGAAAGACCTGTTTTCCTCTGTTTTCTCCTTTTTTTTCTTTCATTATGGCATATATTATACGTGGGTAATCTAAAAAAATCTTTTCTCACACAATTTATCATGATGGTGTCATGGTTAGACTCTGAAAAGACAATTAAAAAAAACTTCACTGCCGCTACAGTGAAAGTAAAGCAGATAAATATAAATTATAAAAGGAGCTTATACGAACCCCTTCTCCCAAGATATATGCAGGCATTGTAAATACTAGTAAGTCTTTGTCTTAAGTGTGCTACGTTCATTTATGTTTGCAAATTCGAAACAGCTTTAATATTAGACATATAAAGTGTTACTAATAGCAAATCACTAATCAGAGCCCCGATGTATTACAATTTCACAATTGCAGTACCCTGTTATCATTAACATATTTGTCAGCAGTCTGTTTCGTTTTAGAATGCTCTTACGTTTCGAATCAATTGAGTATTCTACAATTGTCTTACGTCATCCCGTTGTTTGTCAGGCACACTCAAAACTTCGAACTAACGATAAAAATGCCCTATACATTTCTTTACATTTATTATTTAATAGTGAACTTTTTCACAGCTTTATACCGATCCAGTACTCTGTGGAGGGGTTCCCAAATCCGTTTTTATAATCCTCCCAGTTCCTAGAGAAATTGACAGATCCATCCCCGCGTTTCAGTATTACCTGTAAATGTATGACTTACCAATAAAGTTGCATTCAACCAGTATATAATAAGTAGATCCTATTCATGAATACTGTTTGACATATACAGATAAAAATTGATATGGGCGGGTCTAAAGATTTATTGTTTTATAATAAGGATTTTCTGTTAATTAATTCCAATTCTTAACATTTTTTTTGGTTATGAAATTGATGACAAGTTTGCATTGGTTTCCTCAACATAAGAAAAAAAAGTTTTTATACCCACGCAAACGATGTTTTTTTTTTTGTTTGGGGGAGGGGGGGGGGGTTACAGGAATCACCTTGTCCGTATGTCCGTGTAATCTTGTTTGGGCTATAACTTTGTAATGGAGAATCACTGGAAGTTCATACCTAGTACAGTGATAACGTATGACCCGAAAGTGTGTCATGACTCATGACCTTAATTCAAGGTTATTCTGACAATGTCATTGGCAGAAAAAGTATAAAATTCTTGTCCGGGTTTTAACTTTTTAGTAGATAATCACTGGAAGCTCATACTTGGTACAGGGATTGCTTATGACCGAATGATGTGTCATGACCTTGACTCGAGGTCATTTAGGTAAGTTCAAGGTCACTGACAGAAAAAAGTATAAAATTCTTTTCTGGGCTATAACTTTGACTTTATAATGGAGAATTACTGAAAGCTTATACGTGGTACAGAGATTGCCTATGACCCAAGGATGTGTCATGACCTTGACCCAAAGTCATTCCTCTAGTTCAAGGTCACTGGCAGAAAAAGTATAAAATTCTTGTCAGGACTAAAACTCTGTAATGGAAAATCATTGGAAGCTCATACTTTGTACAGAGATTGCTTATGATCTGAAGAGATGTCATGACCTTGACCCAAGATAATTTCGGCAAGTTCAAGGTCACTAGCATAAAAAGTGTAAAATTCATAACAGGTCTATAATTTTCCAATGGAGAAACATTGCATGTCCATTTTTCCTGAAAAACTACAAATAACCAAAAAATGTGTCATTTTTTTCTAACCAAGATCACATTTACAAAATTTGAAAGGGCACTTTTAAAAAAAATTGCGATAGGTGTATTATTTTGTGAGCTCGCTCACAGTACCTCTAGTTAATTGTTTGTTTGTTGTTTTATTTTGAGATCTTTTATGAGTTAAAAAAAATCTTTCAGAAAATAAAATTAATATCCTTACGGTCCAGCCTCCCCCATCTGTCTCCATATCACAATAAACCTGTCGAGCACCGCCATCCTTGGAACGTATCGTGAATATTCCTGACGTTCTGTAACACGCATCTGAGTATAGTTCTAGACAGTCCGCCGCTAAATCGCCCGAGGATTTCATATTGCAAGAATCTATGAATAAAATGTTTTCACTGTAATTATTTCAATAATTATTCAAATTATAAAAAATATATTTTACTTATACATTTGTATATGATTGCATTATTACCTTTTACTGTGCGGTAATAATTCCAACCGATTGCGATGCCTGTTACTGACATTTCACTACACTGTTTTTGAAGACGACATTTCCCCTCTCCCTGATTATATGCAAAACATGTACATTTGTCTTTGCATTCAGTGGCACACGATAGCTTAGATTTCGCAGAAAATTGTCCAAGAAATTCATTGTTACAAATTTTATCTTTCAGCTGGGGTACAGCTGTGAAATTCTGCAAAACTAGGGAAGAGGACACATTGGTCAAAAGAACTACAAAAATGTTTAAAAACGCATGCAGAAAACACGCTGTCATGTTAGAGACTTCAAACTATATATATTTTGAGTACACTCCGAATGAAATAGTAAAGCAAAACTACACAGTTGGTATCCAGTTCTTAGTTTTAATACATGTTTTTTTCCCTGATGAATATTCATAATCATTATCTTTAATATACATTTCGCAACACCCCTGTTCAATGAAACAAACTGTTCTCTATCACTCATGGCCTCTTTTCAACTGCAACTCAGAATTTTATTCTCTAAATTGAATAGCTCACGTCTTACAATTATAAGTAAGTTTCAAAGTGATTCAAAACTGATTATCGTATTTACACTACTTAACTTTAACTTACTTAACTTTAACTTACTTAACTTTAACTTACTTAACTTTAACTTACTTAACTTTAACTTACTTAACTTTAACACCCGTCTTCTTCCCCTGCATGAAGCTCTAAAAAGGAGATGGGCGAAAATGGCGTGCAAAATGCCTATATCTTCAAAAGTATAAAAGTCATATTTATTGTATGGATTTAGTATCGATAGTAAAGTTCTTATCATTGAAATGGTATGAAATCATTACAAACAAAATTTTCTTTTAGCAGTGCTATTCTTGGGGTTCGATATAAAATTCCTGTAGTTTTCTACTACGCTAAACAGCTCATTAAAATCATGTTTGTGAAATGACGTTTCAGAAAATGAACTCCAAATATTTCGGCCATCTTTTGACTTTTCAATAACCAACATTAAAAATAATCAACATTAAAAATAACCAACGTTAAAAAGATAGTACATTTCAGTTTCGAGTGTTTATTTACAGCCTCCAAAATAAATGTTTGACTGTCTGTCTAGCAGGTTGATTTTAAAAAAAAAAATCTTAAAAACGAGTTTCACTCTCTCTCTCTCAAATTACAAGCACACATTGAATCAAAGGACGAATTCCTTATTCTTTTTCACGGCATTACAATAGAATTTTAATAGTCTACTGAATATCACATTTGCTAGTTTTGTCTTTTGATGCATTGGATGGTATTTAAAATGACACTGAAAGAAAAGAACTATGCCCAACAATATAATTACATATCAATTTTCCTTTCAATATGCAGAATGACAACCAATGCTCATCCTTCATCTCTTGAAAAGAAAACCTACGGATTTTTGTTTGACATGCCGATGGAATTTATGAAACATCAATCACATAGATATCTTTTTTAGATGTAAAATTCTTTAAATATACTGAAATTAGCCATGGAAGATCTACCTTTGTAGACGAACAAAAGACGCAATGGTATTCAGAATGTTTTACAAAAATATGAGCTGTATTTTTGAACCTTTTATTTTGTTTTTAAAATGTGATATGATACTCAAACTTTATGATTAATAAGACGATTAAAAAAAATTATGTAATTATGTACTACGGAATGTAAAGTACTAGTATCTTATAAAAAATCAATTTTATACACGAAGTAATTTTGCTTCAATCAGTGCCTCTAGTTTCCCCATAGCAAATATGAATATTAAAGTTAAAAACCTTCATCTACTTCTGTATTTATAATTTTATGGCAAAAATTTCGGACACGAAAGTAACAGCTAAATATTGCTTTTGGATGTCAGTGGAACAGGTAATTTTTTTCAACTTCAGATTATGAGGTGATGTGAGAAGATCATGTAGTGGTGTGTGTATATTATGTGGTGGTATGTGATGATTTTTGGAGATTATGTGGTGTGTGGAGATTATATATAGTGGTGTGTGGAGATTATGTGGTGGTATGTGGAGATTATATATGATGGTGTGTGGAGGTTATGCGGTGTGTGGATATTACATATTGCGGTGTGTGGAGATTATGTGGTAGTGTGTGAGGATTTTATATGGTGGTATGGGTTATACATGGTGGTGTGTGGAGATTATATATGGTGGTGTGTGGAGATTATGTGGTGGTGGAGATTATATATAGTGGTGTGTGGAGATTATATATGGTGGTGTGTGGAGATCTTGTGGTGGTATGTGGAGATTATATATGGTGGTGTGTGGAGATCTTGTGGTGGTATGTGGAGATTATGTGGTGGTGTGTGGAGATTATGTGGTGGTGTATGGAAATATGATTGAGACCATATATACATTGTATATATAAGACGTTAGAGAGACATTCACACAATGACCATGAGTTAAAGTCAGAGAATAGAACGGTAACGTTGTGTGTAAAGGACCTAGTGTGAGCTTATCTCACTAAACAGGTACTGCTAAGCAGTATTGAAAAGCGTCTTAGATTGTTCTACAAAGTCCTTCGGCGCTTTGTTTGAGTCTCAAAATAGTCACTCATTAGTCAAACACGAAAGTTTATATTTTTTCCCCACTCTTTTGCCTAATAATAAAAATTGACTTAGTATGATTTAATTAGACAGTACATCAAACATTACAATGCAATGCATTGTAGGACAGTTATATTTTTATTTAAAAGAAAAATTAATTAGCTTGCAATCAAAGAACATCACTCGACACTGAAATTTTCCTCGGGATGTTTCGCATATATCCAATTAAATCTTTCAATAAAAAGAAAAATCAGCAAAAGTAACTGTTCTTTGATGAGAACTCAGCTCTAAGTATTGTTATCAGAATATATTCCGTTTATCCTTCCTGGTTCTTATCTGCATCATTCTCAAAATTTACACTCATCAGTCAAACACAATTTTCTCTCTTTTTCAATCTTTCATATACTCAAACTAGGCGACTTGCATAAACAGCAATGAAAAAAATTGTCGAGAGATCCTTCGACATTATTACCGCACTGCTAATTTAGATTCATATGAAAAAGAACAATCATATAAGAAAATGTGAATGAAAATATTCCATCCAGTCTGTTTTTCAAAACTTTTTAAAAAGAAAACTGTATTAGAAAATGTGTCAATTTCAACCTTATTTTCAAAAACATCATGTAAAACAAAAATGGACTTCATTTTATTGATTGACATTGTATTGTAGTGTAGTGCAATAAAATGCAGTTAAATTCTTATTAAGGTAAACAGTATAAATTTTCTTACCCAAAAAAATCCACTCATCAGCTGAAAAGGAATGTTCATTTCTTCTGGATGTTTTACGCATACACAAACTAGTTATTCGATTTAAAAAAAACAGCAACAAGTAACTTTGCGAAAGTTCTTCGACTTAATTACTGATTGTTAATTTTTGATTCATATCATTAAGAGAACAAATATTTAAGAATATGTGAATAAAATCAATGCTCTCTAGTCTGTTTTTGAAAACTTATTTTTTCAAAACATAAAATGAAAAAAGTATGTGTATTCAATCATTTTTTTTTAAATTCTATTAAGAAAAAAAATTGACTAAGTTTATTTTGATTGGACACTTTGATAGGCATCACAGTCTGTCGCATTGTATTGCAGCAGAGTGCAGTATGGTGTAATTCTTCTTGTATTTAACATGTTTAAACAGACACAATTATTTTACATGTCAATGTATTTAAAATATTCCCCCACCATCCACACTCCAAAGACAGCTTTTATATACAATTTGTCCTTGTGATTGAATGTATATTTGGAAATTTGCATAATCTAAGTTTTGTTACAAAGTCCGAGAACTCAAATTATGTCCCTTTGAACAACGTAGACAAAACGATCTTTGCTTTCTGCTTTATATTATGTAAATGTTTAAGGAATGCTAACGAGTAACAGGCTTGTATACTATATATAAGACGTTAGAGATACATTCACACAATGACCATGAGTTGAAGTCCGAGTAAATAACGGTAATGTCGCGTGTAAAGTACTTAGTGTGAGCTTATCTCGCTAAGCAGTATTGAAAAGCGTCTTTGGTTGTTCTACAAAGTCCTTCGGCGCTTTGTTTGAGTCTCAAAATATTCACTCATCAGTCAAACAAGAAAGTTTATATTTTTTTCAGTTTTGCCTGATAATAAAAATTGACTAAGTTTGTTTTAATTAGACAGTACATCAAGTATTACAATGCAATGCATTGTAGGGCAGTTATATTTTTATCTAAAAGCAAAGTTAATTAGCTTGCAATTAAAGAAAATTTTCCTTGGGATGTTTCGCATATATCCAAATCACTCTTTCAATAAAAATGCACTGTAGTATAGTGCAATAAAATGAAGTTAAATTCTTATTAAGGTAAACAGTATAAATTTTCTTGCAACAAAAAAAAAAATCAAAAAAAAAAAATCATCCACTCATCAGTTAAAAAAGGAGTGTTCATTTCTTCTGGATGTGTTTTACGCATACACAAACTAGTTATTCGATTTAAAAAAACAGCAACAAGTAACTTTGTGAAAGTTCTTCGACTTATTTACTGATTGTTAATTTTTGATTCATATCATTAAGAGAACAAATATTGAAGAATATGTTAATAAAATCAATGCTCTCTAGTCTGTTTTTGAAAACTTTTTTTTTCAAAACATAAAATGAAAAAAAGTATGTGTATTCAATCATTTTTTTAAAATTCTATTAAGAAAAACAATTGACTAAGTTTATTTTGATTGGACACTTTGACAGGCATCACAATCTGTCGCATTGTATTGCAGCAGAGTGCAGTATGGTGTAATTCTACTTGTATTTAACATGTTTAGTTATTTTACTTGTCAATGTATTTAAAATATTCCCCCACCATCCACACTCCAAGGACAGCTTTTATATACAATTTGTCCTTGTGATTGAATGTATATTTGGAAATTTGCATAATCTAAGTTTTGTTACAAAGTCCGAGAACTCAAATTACGTCCCTTTGAACAACGTAGACAAAACGATCTTTGCTTAATATTATGAAAATGTTTAGGGAATGGTAACGAGTAACAGGCTTGTATACTACATGTAATCTGAGTGAGGTTACATTGTAATCACACATATGAACACGCCAAGTTCGCAGAATAAAAAAAAAAACAAACAAAAAACAAAAAAAAAACAAACAAACAAAAAAAAAACAAAAAAAAAAACGAAACAACTTTAATAACAGTTTCGAAGCAATCATAAGGGTAGGCCTATTATTTTTGTACATTTCCTGACACATACATCTCAGATATCATACTGAGTCTACTATCATTTTTATCTTTTTTAGTCTTTTCATAAACTAATGTATAAATTATTTATGAACTCGTTTACAATCTTATCCTTTTGTAACCACCTGTAGACAAGTTTTCTTTTTATATCGAAATTGCTTATTTTTCGATGGAAAATTTCAGGACTCAAAACTTTACTATAGTCAGACGACATGCACGTTCCTCAGTTCCTCAGTAATATATAATTTTCCCAAAGAATCTGTCATTAACATTAAAGCATTGCTACTTTAACAAGTTAACTCACAAAAATTTGAGGTACCTTACCAGGCATTTGTGCAAGACACCAGAGGACGGTGTTTCCTATGTAATCCTATTAAAAATAACTTGAATTGCCGATATCACAATTTTTGGCTTTAAAAGACATTTTAAAAACAGTTTAAAAAACACGAGGTGATGATAATTATTACTATTTTTATACACTACGGAGATATACAAAACAAATTCCAGTATTCGAGGAACATGTGGTCTGACCTTAACAAGTAGTTTCGATTGAGATCATATACATGTACAGGTATACGGCAGGCTTGATTATAAAATGATTTTATTTGATGTTGCATTGATTTTAAATTGCTTCTTGCGATTCCCCCAAGGTATATGATAAGTAAGTCTAATAAATCTGTGAAAAAAGTCCAAGCCCGGAGTTGTATATATAGCCTTAAAAAGGTAGGGGAGGCTGGGGTCTTGTCTATTAGTACCTGCAACAATAAATCTTACTTACAAAAATTGTCAGTAACGGAAAACTATTTCCAATTGTAAAAATAGTTGTTTCACATTTTGTCATGCAAAATTTTACTTTTTGCAAACCTATACTTTCACGAGATATAATTTGAATGATTCCTTCACCCCAGGCTGCTCTTTTGCTATGTTTGGTTAAAATTGATCTTGTTGTTTTGTAGACAAAAACGCAAAACATTTACAGACATATATAAAGCTCAGGTAAGCTAAAAATAACTTTCCCCAACACCCAATTATCATTCAAACTAAAACATCAAGACTGCATATTTCATTGTAAAATATGTTACATTTTTATAACAAAAAGACTGATGTACATGCATTTTCTACCCATACGATTCTAAATTTTCAGTTTCCATGACAGAAACAACAACAACAAAACAAAAGAAAGTAATCATTAATTTAAACCAATGAAAGATGTGAGCATGTAATGAATGTATTACATATCAAACTGCATTCTACTCAATAAGAAGACATTCAAAGATTTATTCAATAAATTTTAAACTATGGAAGAATTCACATCTGCAAGAACATAAAAGCATGACAATCAATCTTAAGAACATTTAATGCATGTAAACATTAAGTTTATTATGGCAAATCATGGGCTGTATTTGTATTTTCATTTTTCCCCTGTGCAGGGCCAACCAATTTCAATGTTGTAAATGTCTGTATGCTGTGATTCCCATGGCAACAACTGCTATGGTAACCCCACCTATGACTGAGGTCCACTTCCACTGAAAACAGAAGAGTAAAAAAAGCTAGATGGAAAGTACAAAAAAGGGCAACAATGCTCACCTGATCATTAGACTGCAAGTACACATATAAGCTGTAGAAATATCCTCTGTTGATCTACATGTTAAAAGTCAGCTACACTGTAGGTCAAACTTGGTAGCAAAATGCTAATGGCAAAAAGATGCACAAATCATCAAGTATACTGATTTCTAAAGAATTTTATTCAAAAGTGATTGCTTATATTATGTATTGGTCAATTACAAGTGATTGTTTATATTACATTAGAATTCAGGCCCCTACAAATACTACCACTTAGCCAGTTAGAGAATAAGTATATCTAGTTTATGAATTGGTGACTTGAGAACAATGACTCTAAAGTCTTTGGACTGTGGTTGCATTTTCTGGTACATACAGTTGAACTTCAGTACCTTGAACTCTGATATCTTGAATACCATGGATAAGTCAAAGTGATTTGAAAGTACCAGCCACTATTTTTTCTTATTGTTTTTTATTCTCAATATTTCAAACCGTCGGATATTTCTAAGTTTTTTCCTCTGTCTCATTGAGTTCAAGATAATGAAGTTTGACTGTACTTGTACATGTATTTTTCTCTGACTTACCATACTACTGGAGGATTGTGATGGCTTGCTGACTTTGGTCTGTGGTTTCTGTCCCAGCATTTTCTGGTACATGTTCTTCTCTGATTGACTTTCAGCCTGTAGTTTCTTGCTCAGCTTCATTATTTCTTGATTGATGACCTAAAATGTCCAAATTTTAATCATCTGATTCTTTATATAGAGAGTGCAAATCCCACATATATTCAATTATTATGAGCATGATAGCATTTTGTTCAATTACACAAAGGATGTGAGGATGCAAGAAGTTATAGAGATGCTGAACTCCCCCAAACTATTTTGGGAAGCATTATTCTGGTAATATTTAATTTCTTGAATAATAAATCAACCTGTACATACTACACTTAAGTATCATTATAATACATTAGTCTGTATACATAACCACAACCTATACTTACCTTTGTGTCTGGTTCTAATTTCTGAGCTTTCCTCATGTACATAAGTCCCTCTTTCGTCTCTCCTTTGGCTGCATGGCCCTTAAGAAGCAACAATTAAAGATACAGTTATTAAAAATACGACAAAAATATGAAAATATTTCATGCAACAACTACTAAGTTAATGATATGTCATACTCCTGAACTTTATACTTAGCCAAGCAAATTGTCCAACTTTGCTAGAAAGGTTTAGTCACACAGTATATTTACTTCAATAGTTGTCTAGGGGTACAAAATTTATGCATTTTAGATATACGTGTACAAGTATTTGTACACTATATGCACATGTATACTCCAGTATCAAACTAGTTCTCACCATTTAGAGATATTCTGACATAGCATTTATCATTGGAAAATGCATTCTTTTTCTCTATACTCCAAGGAACTTTACATGTAATTCTATTTAGACAATATTAGAATCAGATAAAAATGTTGAAAACTTGATAATCAACAAACAAGTTGGAATTGCAATAGGTAAATTGACATAGGTGACTGTAAAATTTGTACAATAAAAATTAGCCACAAACATCATATACTGTAAATGTACCTATTTTAGTGCCTTTCACACTGCTTCTTGTCTGCTTATTTATGTACATGCTAATAAACAATTAAAACTTAAACATATAAATGCTAAACTCGTGTGCTAATTTATGGTTGTGCTAATCAGTTGAAGACAAATGTGCCAGATTTTGAGTGTGCTAAATTATGTTTCTTTACGATAATCAGTACAAACACCTTGCCTCCAGAAGAAGATTACTGAAACACTGCAATCATTCTTACCTTTCCTGTCCTGAATAAAGCCTTTACATTCTCTGGTTGTACATCGAGGACATTTAAACATGACTTAATGGCAGCATCATGAGCATTTGTCTGAAAGGAATCACATGAATATCATACTGATGACCTGATATCATAATGCCAGATACATTTGTTTGAAAAATAATCACTGAATACAGTAGTAATTAACTTATTATAGACATATTAACGTGTAATCATACATATATGTTTTCTCACCCTTCATACTTACTTTTAGTTGACATGCTGCCATGTTATTGTAACATTTCAGTCGACTCTCCAATAACTTCTGTAAATTCTCGGCTGAATCGGAGCAAGTTGCAGGATCTAGAATTTGGACAGCCCTGTGGAAAAATTTACACAGTAAGAATTCTTTATCAATTCTAACCACACAAAGTTACCGCTAGGAAGTCTACCAATGAATTTAAAAAAATTTCCAATGAAGGAAATATATGTTTTTTTGATCAAATATTACTAGGTTGTATACCATGAGCTGTCTTAATATTGTTTGAGTATGATCTTGCATAGGTTTCACAAACATGTTTTGGCCTTTAAACAAAGTCCCCACTTATTTCCAGTGGCCTTGATCATGTTGGGATGACTTTGTGACAGGTTTATCACACATTCTTTAGTTATGAACAAACTTTGTGACAAGTATTCAAAGGTTACTGCCCAGTCATGATGCAATCAGGCAATAGATAGATTGATTGATTTCTATTCCCTTCCCTTTGCTTCATTTATGGGGGAAACTCATTTTTTTGTTGTTGTTGTAGTTTTTGGTTTATTATCCTGAAAACCCAATTTCATTTTTTTGCCACCTTTGTGAACAGAAAAATAAATTTGGGCCTAATAGAAAAAACAATTATGATAAAGTTTTGAACATTTTTAGATATGCTCTTTTCCTCTTAAGTATTTACTTTCTACTTTTTCTGATATAAACAAAGTGAAAAAACATTTCATACATTAAAACATATAGAGATTCACTTTTTAAAAGTGGAATTACCAGTGAAAAACATTTTATGCATTAAAACATATAGAGATACACTTTTTAACAGTGGAATTGTACAGTAAGAAAACTCGGTTATAGCAAAGTCCTGGGGACCTATGAATTTAATTCGCTATATCCATAATTTATTATTACAAATTTGTATAACTATATACAGCAAATTTGCAATATAAACGTTTTCCTTTGAGTGTTACTATACCGAATATGTTAGGGAAGCAATTATTACAAAACATACCTTGGATAACTATGGTTTTATTATGAAATGAATTTTATATACAAATACCAAAATTCTAGTCAGTTCAATATATCGTAAATCTGGAAATTTTTACGTCGATTTATTTTTGCGAATCTGGGTTAAAAAGGTGTTGATTAATTTTTACGTTTTAAAATTTTGCGAATTATCATTGGCGCTAAAAATAAAAAGCACTTAAATGTTTCATAATAGTTTATAAGTTACGTATGTGAATACAATGAATTACGCATATACATGCAATCTCCTTTCTTTCGCCGGGGTTTCATTACACACGAGAGTGAGTTCTTTATTAAAAATCTGTCGTGCTAAGGATTCATTGTTAGATAAAACAACTGGCCTTTCTTTCTTGGAGAAATAATTTAAAAGAGACCGACTGCCTGTCAAACTATCGGACGATATTGAAGGCACAGATTAATTATCTTGGGTAATTAGCTTGTAGTATAAACATATTTCTTAAAATGACCACTGCTTACAAACACCTGTTCACCGGGTTAAAAAAAAGACACCATCAGCAAATTTGTTGTGTACATTTTTTGTTGTTGATTTATTTTTAAGAAAAATATTTTTGCGAATGCAGTGCTTGCGCAAATTTGCTAAAAATTAATCTACAGTAAAAATTTCCAGATTTATGGCATCAAATTTGAGATCTTTGAAAATTCATTGAAAATTTGTTATAAAAGATGTAAATTTCATTATTTTTAACCTATACTACAGGACTCAAAATCAGTTCGCTATTAGCTATATCTGTAAATTTGTTATATCAGAGTATGTTATAACCGTAAAATTTTACAAAGAATTGTTAAGAGTTTTGCTGGGACCCCAAAAAACTTCACTATATCCGTGAATTCGCTCTATCCGTGTTCATACTAAACTGTAATAACTTACTTTGTATAGGAATGAATGGCTGACATGTAGTCTTCTCTTGTAAACAGAAAATTTCCTCTTTCTTTTTTCTGTTCACTGTAGATTAAACAATGATCAAAGTAATTTATATGTTTAACCTTACATTTTTTTCTTTAATAATCTAGCATACAAGAAACAATAACCCACACTCTTAAGTTTCAGCACAGTTTTGGATTGTAAAATATGCTTGTTAAGTGAGGTTTACTAGTTTTTGTTACATGAACAATGGCAAATCTTTCCCAATGAAGCACTGTGATATTCTGTTACAGAACCTACTGATAACAATAACATCTTGAAAAAATATTTGGTAAAACATCCTTGCATATAATTATGTAAGTTGAATTTAGTTGGCCACTTACCCATATTTAAGTCTCTCGGTGGCAGACATGCTGTCGTAGTCTAGTGGGTAACCTTTTTTGATCAACTCTATGATGTATGTAACAGAAGAGTTTGGTGGAATGTCTGGTTTCCTAAATAAAGACAGCAATGAGACACTATGGATATCAGATATCCATTGGACTTTACACAATCTAAATAAACATTATCAGATTATGAAACGCCAGTCAGCCTGCAAACCTAAGGCTAGGAACTGTTCAGCTTAGGAAACAAATTTTATGGAATGTTTGAAAAATACAATTTCGTTTCTGTAAATTTTGACTTCTGGGCTAGCCATTTTTCAGTGAGTTTTGTTTACTGACATTACAGCATCTGTTTATTTCAGGATCATTGTCTTTTATCATTGTGTGCATGTTTGAAGAAAAAGACTAAAACAACAAAATTTAAACAACTCTTACCTTCCTTTTTCTCCATAAGCAAATCTGGCCTCTGTTTGAAGTTCTATTATTTGTCCTTCTTCCATTAAGGCAACAGCCAGATCCCAAGCTTTAAATCAACAAAATCCTAACTAGTTTAATTCGTAATACAAAAATATTTCTTGATTGCATGCCATTACATCTCCAATAACAGAAGACATGACTAATAGTATACAATACATCTGATTACTGAAGGTTTTTAACTTCCCTAACATTAGAATTGAAAATCTAAGAATGACAAGCTTTAATTCATTAACTTCATGTGTAGAAAAAAACTTAAAGCTAATTCATTTAAATTATCAATCAAAACATCATTAAGTAAAATGAAGGTTTGGTTCTCAAGCAAACTTTAAGCATTGTCTGTTCACAAGAAAATATGACCTAAACATACATGTTCTCAAATTTCCATACCTTGAATAACATCTCCATCTCCTAAGACAAATGTCAATGATTCGTTTACATCAACAACAGTCTCATCTTTGAGTTTACCCTCAACTTTGATTGTCACAACATCACTTGTCATCGGTCTTTTACCATCTGGAGCTGCTGCTTTTAAAATCTGTAATAATTTACACATACAACAATCTAACTGCTGTTGAAATTTACACAGTAACTAAGCATTAAAATGAAATTACATGTTTTTGACTGTGGCTCTGAGTAAAGGCAGGTACATGTTAATAAAATTAATCCACTTAAATTATCGAGGTACCTTTCTTTTAAGGGACCCATTTCCAAGAATATCTAGATATTCCTCCTCCTCTTTCTTTTCATCCTTAGTATTATCTCTCTCTTCTTCATTATTTTCTTTTAAACATTCATCTTTAACATCATTTTCTTTCACATTGTCTGGATTCATACTCTCAATGTGAGAGTCTGTATTTCCTGTGCTTTGTGTGCTAGAATTAATGTCTTTATCTTGATCATTAACAGTTTCCTTCTCAGAATATGTCTTTTCATTGTCATCCTTTGTAACATTCTCATTATCTATAAGTGGGGGCATGTCCTCTTCATTTTGATCACTGGACTCTGAATGTTGATCTGTTACTTCAGCTTTCCCATCCTCTGAGAATGACACACCCTCTGACAGAGATGTAGAGTCTTTTGATGCCACTGAGTCTAATTGTACAGAATTGTTTTGATTTATATTGCCCTCTGATGCAACACTAGAGTTGGTGGTATTATTCTCACTGTCTTTTCCATAGCCACTGAGAATCGAGTTCTCCCCACTTTTCCCATCAATGATATTATCAGTTGATCTTTCTTTACCATAATCATCTTGACTAGATACAGATTCCACTGAAAAAATATACATTAATGATTATAGCATAATATTAATTTACAATAAAAACTCGGCATAATTAACACGCATAAAACATCGACACACGACGTAAAATTGCATAGTTTAAAATATTATTTCATTATATTTAAACCGTTCGTAACGATTTCTTCATTAAAAATAAAAGCATTTTATTCTTGAGAGAACCACCACACACGTGTATGATGCAAATAGTTCAATGACATTTCTAGAACGTGCGACAAAAATCAATAATGATGAATGCAATGGCCGAACTTAAAGAAATATGATTATTTCAATACTTCATAAACAAAATTATCACAATCCCCAATCACTGTTAGACAAACAAATAAATATTTTGTAAAAAGAAGAGGTGTAAGAAACGTTTATATCCTACTTTCTGTTTCCTTTGGCCTATATGCCGTAAAGCGATTTTATTTTGCGACAATGAAAGAAACCTTGTTTCGTCTGTATATATGTGCATCACATATCAAAATAAGGTAGGACTAACGCGTAATTTTTTAAACAATAAATACAACTTTTAATTCATTTTAAATAGATTAACTTCAGCTGCAAATGTCTTAGTTAGTCTTAACGACAACCAGAAGTTGAGTCTACTGCAGACAGGTGCCTGAAACATGTAGTGATGTAAGATCTATTAATTATGCTATTTTTCACCTAATTTCATCATTATCACACGAATGAGGAATTTGTTTAGAATCAACGCTCTGAGAGAAACAACAAACCTAAAGAGAAAATAAGTCAAGAAGTTAGTATTTATCCAAATATAATAGCCAGTGATAGCAGGGATGTTAGAATAATCTGTGCCTCGGGGACAGGCCCTTGTCCATCTGGAGTGATAGGGTTTGAGTTTATAGTTATTATTTAATAAAAACTCATTATGATTGAACTGGTTTAACATGATCTTAATTCTTTTTGCATGCTAATGTCATTAAAAGTCACATTTCCTTTCCCCCCAAAATAACCGACTTTAAGGTTCCTTGATACTCGGATAAGAGAGATAACTCTTAATGACATAAATGTCTATTAATCCTTTCTAAATTAGCCATGTTGAAGTTCCTTTTTTTTGTCTTAATTTGGCCCACAGGCTATGCTATAATTGGTTTTATTTTACTTATAAAATACATTTCTTTTGGAAAATCATTAGAGTTAAAGCAACATTTTATATGAGTGATCAGAGGGTTTATGAACCTTAAAAAATGTAAAAGCCGCATTACTGGAGCAAATTTCAGCAATAGAGTTAAATGTAAAATTTAATTATTTTATCTTTTAGAATGGCCCAAGAGGAATGGACTCCATTAGCCAAAAAGTACTGTCCTCTTATGGCCGGAAGTATTGATAGGACCGATACGGAACCTCACGACCACGGAATAATCAGGGCCCTATCCTCATCATACAAACCAAACAAAGATGTTGCAGGTGATCCTCACTGTACAGTGTTTGTGTCTCGTTTGAACCCCAAAACTGATGAGGAGACACTTGAATCTGAACTCTCCTACTTTGGAGGTATAAACAAGATCAGATTAGTGAGGGATGTTGTCACTGGACATTCTAGGTGTTATGCTTTTGTGGAGTTTAAGGAGGAACGATCAGCAGTTAGAGCTGAGAGAGATGGACATATGATGGAAATAGATGGTCATGAAATTCTTGTTGACTTTGAACTGGAGCGCACCCTGCCAGGGTGGATTCCAAGAAGGTTAGGGGGAGGTTTTGGAGGCAAGAAAGAATCTGGTCAGTTACGATTTGGATGTAAAGATCGCCCGTGGCGAAAACCAATTTCAATGCAATCAAGGAATATGTCAGATAATTTTGATGATGAAAGAGATGATAGTGGACAGAGATCATATGACAGAAAAAGAGAAAAGTACAGAAAGCACCCTAGAGATAGAAGTAGGTCACGGGATAGAGGAGAATCCAGGGACAGGCACAGGAAAAGAAGTCGTTCCCCGGACAGAAGGAGAAGAAAGAGGAGTAGATCCAAACACTGATGATATTAAGAAAGCATGTAAAGAAACACACAGTATTGTGAATTTTGACTAGTATCATGCTGATCTGTAGAGAAATGCTCTTTTCAATCAGACATTAGTATGAAAAATTCTTAAAAGTTTTGGTATAGTATTTTGTTTTTGTCTCCAAGTGCTCAATAAATTTACAAATGTCATTTTTAGGTATTTATTGCTTTTATTAATTGATATGTGCTTGAAAAGACACCCCCCTTTCTTTCCCCTCAAAATTGTGATCCTATTTTTAAAATATGTACACAAATGTATTTCACACATCTATTGTCCATGTCTACAAAAGCAGGTGTGAATAGCCTTAAGAACATATATCCTCCAGGTCATGCTATGACACTGCTTGCAAACTTTCATCAGAGACCAATTTAGTTATTTTCTTTAAGCCGAAAATTGACCAAACTTGCAGGGGCATATGTACATGACCTATAGAGAGCCCATGCCTCCACCAATTATTCCTAATTCCTCTTTTTTAAATCTTGAGATATCTTTGTTCATGCTGTACTGATTTTTTTCCCTTGAAGGATGGGTAAAAAACCCTGCTAGGTATGAATAATCTCTTTAAAGCATTATATAAACATTTGATTTAGGGTAAAACCAACCAGCCGAAGAGTAGCGACGTTAACAATGATTTTTTTTCGGGTGAAAATTTTCTGTGTTGCTCTCTACTACATGTAATATTTGTCGTATTATACTAAATTTATTTATTGACAGTTCACTAAACATTACAGGCATACATTTCACACATTACATAACTTCTATATCACCTTTTGTCAAGAAATGTTTTCTGTTGCTAAGTAATACCATCCCAGATGACGTGGTTTTGAGTAACCTTGTGCTTTTATCAAACACATGACCAATCAGTTTGGTGTAATTTTCATGAAAGTCATCGCTGGAATCAACGGATTTTCTCTCATACACTTTACTTGTATACTGAATGTAGTGTAACGGAGAGAAAATATGTGGGTTCAGGGCAACTTCAGGCGATACATGAAAGTACAAACACAATTATAATGTAACAACCAATATATAATCTTGGAAATTATTTGATATTAAAAGTTGGAATTGTTTTAAAAAATCTAATCATAATATGATTTAAAAAAATAATAGGATATGGTCAATGCAAGCGATATTTTTGATGTCAGAAAATCAGTTTGGATAACAGCAAACCATACCATATTATATTTATGCATAAAGAATATTCATGTCCATATTTTCTTACTTCCACAAAGGTACAAGTTTCTGTAAACTATTAAGAAATATCTTAACAGATATATACAAAAAATGTTTTGTACATGTCGGTATTTTTAAGTTTTGCTGCTCGTAGTTTTAAAGCACCGACAACAAAAGGTTATGAATAAATAACATGTCAAAAATCATTCCTATATGCATACTCTAAATTCTTTTAAATACCCTGCATGATGGTAGTAAGAATTGGATCATTATGGAATCAAACGTATTGAAAGTTGTGTTAAATAGAGCAGCGTGGAAGATTTAAAGTCTGGTTTCGAAACAGCCTTGTCAAACCAGTAACAGTTCAGTGACCACGTTTATAAATGTTTACAAATAAACCGTCATGGCAGACGTGAAAACAAGAAAATGTTGGATATAAACCGTACTCTGTTTCTTCTACTGTCAACGTACATTGTCACTGAAGCAGGTAAGTGTTGCCATCTAAATTGCTATTGAACAATTAAAATCTGATAGTTAACAGTCGAGAAGAATGTGAATTAACCCTAAGTTGTGGCTGTCTGTGCTACTCGCACACAACTTTACCTCGGACTCCAAGTTGAAACAGATCACAATTTCCCTTCCTTTAACTTACATGTATGTCTATATATTATTTTGGACTGGCAACGCGGCGACAAATGTTCCTACAAATACCATGGAAAAAGGAATATTGAAGTTAGACTCCCCTTACCTTGTTATAATAATTAACCCAGACAAGTGCAGGACCATCACGAGGTTTCTGATAAAAAAAGGGTGCAGAGGAGGGGATGTCTGGGAGCAATTCCGGTTCCCTACTTAGGGCATTTTTTTTTACGACTGGATATCATTTTGGTGGGTTCTTATGCATGTATCAAATATAGTATAAACAAAATCTAACTTTAAACCAATAGAAGAAAAAGTAATTAAATTTTACTGATCGCCGCGTCGAAAATTTAATCTCAAACACAACACAGTAATGTGGAAAAATGATTGAAAAGCAGAAAATCAAACAGTTTGGGGGAAAAAAAAATTACCAATTTTTACTAAACACTTTCGCATGTTGGAAGAACAAAACAGTTGTAAAAAAAAAGTTCAAGAATTCGGAACTTCCTCAACAATATACAGGTTAACAGAACTTTAAAATTCTATTAATAGAAATTTAAAAAGTCTTTAAGAAATCAAAGTCACGATCCCGCTGCATCTACTTGTACAACGACCTTTTAATTTAAGGAGGCTGGGGGTCAACAAATTAACCACCAGATTTAACTTATTTTTTTTAGATATGGTATCTTAAGCTGTCAACTATCATTTGGCAAAGAAAAATTTCAAAAATTTTAGTTTTAAAATTTGATCATTTTCTATATCTTCATATGGAGCTCTTCTTCTAAAGGAGATCAATATAGTCTAAAAATGGCCACAACCCCCCAGCCTCTTTAAACGCATCTCGAAGCAAAATTGTCTACAATGTACTTGCATTCTCCTAAGTCGGTGAATCGGAAGGCAATGGCGATTCATCGACTTCACAAATGAGAATTTTTCTTTTTACTGGGTGGATGTTCAAAATTTAAACCTGGGAACCAGAAATCTTGGAAATTCATTTCACTTCCACCTTTCTTCCCAAAAAGAAAAAAAAACACCTTTGAATAGATGGAAAGAAAGAAGTATAGTTTTCATTGAATGAATTCATAGCATTGAATTTTTAAGCATCATTTATAAACTAATGAAAAACTTTTTTTTTTTTGGACTTTGAGAAAAATAATTAAATATATCTATCAAAGTGAAAATTTGAGTTGACGCTATCCATTTAATTTTCAACATCATGTGTACCTATTGTTGAACAGAAATCACTGCTGCTTACTTAAATATGGCATACAAATGCAAATAAAGTATTTAAGTACTTCATATTGGTCTCGTATAATGAACTGATTACAAACTGTGTACTACGCCGTGCAAGTTTCAATCAACTTTAAATCAAAAGGCAGATCACTCTATCTCCATAAAAGTAAAAGTATCATGGAATTGGAACTCTTCAGTTTGCAATGCATAGAGGGTCCTTAAACAAAATAAAACTCATGTTAAGGAAGCTCTAAACACTAACAAAAAGTGTTTTTTTGACTTGGAGAAATATATATCACATAAAAGGTGTGCATATTGAGATTAATTAGTTCATTTTTAGCATAATTAAGGTACCTGCCTTATTTCTGCAGGAAAAATGTTCAAAGACAATGGACTATTCGTGAACAGAAATCACTGTTGTTTACTTACATTGGGAAAATTAATGGAAATAATGAATTCAATTACTTATTTTTGGTCTAATATAATGTTAAGAATATTTAAATCTATTACAAATTGTGTAATTAACTTAAAATAACTATTTTTCTATCTTACTTCTAAGGGCAGATAACTCTAACTGCATAAAACTACCCTACAAGTAGAACTCTTCAGTGTGCAGTGTTTAGAGCTTCCTTAACAGCAAAATCCTCCACAGAAGATATTTCGAAACCTATTTATTGTGAATAAAATGATACTAAATTTTGTGCCAACCTTCGTTTAATTCTTTCCCAAGAACCGTTTCTGATTTTGTTTAGATTTTTAAAAATAATTTAATATAAAACGAACACGCAATACTAATACATGTAATTACAAAATATGTCAAATTTTATTAACTTTTTTTTTTAAATTACAGTAGAAACATGTCCAGATGGTCAGTCTCTTGTAAATTGTTTCGTAGCACCTTGCGACGTTTCCACCTGTCCAAATTTTCCAACTGCAATCTGCAAGTAAGTAACAGTCACTAACAGCTATTTTTGCTTTGTAGGTACATGTATACTTTTAGCACTGTAGTACTAGCAATGCCAAATGTAATCGTGATGACGCAACATGTATAATAAAGGGCACTTATTTGCTTTTTTACATTTAGCATCTAATGCAAAATGTCCGAATTACGGTTTTAGGTGTGCTATGTGTGTAGTCAGACGCGGGGGGGGGGGGGCTTTTTTTCTGACTATACTATTCTGTTATAGTAATTTTCCCTTTAGATGCAGGTTGCCCCCCCCCCCCCCCACTTTTTGATGTGAAGGTCGAGCACTGGCAAATTTCAGGATTCGGAAATAAATTACCCCATTTTTTTTTTTTTTTTTTGTTTGTCAGATAATTTTGGGAGGTTGGTCCCCCCACTTTTGGTTAGGTTGCCCCGTCCCCCTTTTGAAACCGTTGCTACGGGCCTGGATAAACAAAAGATATGTTTATTACCCTGCAGTAAGCACGAAGAGGATTAGCCAAGTAATTATTATTTTATAGAGGTAAACACCTTTCACTCACACTCTCATACAAGTTGGAAAAGAAGGGCACATAAATATATACAATAATTATTCAATAACAATATTTAAAAATTATGACACTTTAAAAAGACATTTCCACTTGGACCATCTACATGTATTTTTGTAAAATGTATTTTATGAAATTTTCTCTCCTGAAGTATAGTAATTGTATAAATATTTTTGAATATCATTAAAAGCAATACTGGTATTTTTTCTGGATTGTTGCAATTTACATAAACAGGATTATCAAATTTATAGCTACATATTCTTTTTCAAGAAGACCAAAAATAACAGTTTTCACATCAAATACAATTCTTTCACCATGCAGACTTGTGAAAAATCCAGTCTGACAATGCTAGCCAAATCATAGAAACATGTGGACAGTAGAAAAATATATGCTTAATTGTCTCTGGTTCTAATTCACATACTGAACAAAGAGGCGAATTTTTTATTTTAGACATGTGTAAGTATTTATTAGTACCTAATATTCTATGAATAATTATATAGCTGAACCATATCAGTCCTGAAATTTTGATTAAATATTTAAAATTTGTCTAAACATGCTTCCGGTTAAAATCTGATTCTAACTTTAAATCAATAGCCCATTTGTTTTCACAAATAGGTCTGTGCTGTATATTTGACGTTAAATAATCATAAATGTTTCTGGATCCTTTTTTCTATTCTTACAAAGAATTTTGATAAATGCAGGTTGATATGGTTTGACGTTAATATTGTATGACAATTGTTTGACATTTGGCCATGAATACAAAATTGCCTGCTTCAAACCAAATGATAATTTACGATACTTTCATAGCTAATAAAATTACCCTCTGTATTAAATAAATCGTGTAATGTGTGGAATCCGTTTTCATGCAGTGTCTTTCAAAAAAAAAATTATTTTGAATCTTTATTTCATTATTATGCCACATTTGCAAATATTTCCCTTATAGCATTATTTGAGCAATGCGTATTTACACCTGTATATAAAACAGGTTCGTCGCATAACCACAAATTCATTTTAAGTCAAAAGCCATCGACGTAATTTCACAGTGACGTCATAAGTGGTCGACCTGTTGGACCCACTGAGGTTTGAAAAAAAGATGTCATGGGTTTAAAACTATAATACGCAAATATTTGTTATAAATGTTAATATATAAGTAATAAGGTATATTTTTAAACATTTATCTGGAAATAATCATGGGTTGGTAAGTAATAAAATCTACTATCGGGCTTTATTGCCTTATTGGATTTGATCACGTGACCAACCTGTATTTATATCCCGATAAATGTTTAAGAATAATAAATAACTTCAAATTTTTATTGGGGCACCGAAATTATTCATAATTCCTGAATTATTGGGAAATATACCTAGTAATAATTTTCAAGACAACATGTAAAAAAAAAAAATTATAATCGCACCTTGAGTTCATCTAAGCGCAAAATTTTATATTTGGGGTTTATTATCTGCATTTCGTACTTGTGTGTCGCGACAAAGCATACATACAAAGAAATTATAATTTATAATTCATGTTTTTTAAAAAAAAATATATATATATTTTTACCAGGTTTATCCCAAATAAGTAATTAATTTGAGAATCGATACGTATTACTGAGAAAATTAAGGCATAAGACAGTCCCAAACAGAAAAGGAACGAATGAACTTTTACATGTTTTACACAGTATTAATACCCGCGAATTCATATTTCAATATTTCAAGCACTCTTCCACTAGACATATGTGTTTTGTATAGGGATGACTATTGTGGAGGATGTAACGCCGTTTGGAGTGTTAACGATACAGAAGTTACCAGCGACTGTCAAAACAGTAAGTATCTTCAAACGATCCAGATATCAAAACAGTTACAATATCTACAAACGGTCCAGACGTCAAAACAGTAAGCATCTACAAACGATCCAGATGTCAAAACAGTAAGTATCTACAAACGATCCAGGTGTCAAAACAGTAACTATCTACAAACGATCCAGATGTCAGAACAGTATCTACAAACAATTCAGGTGTCAAAACAGTTAAGTATCTACAAACGATCCAGACGTCAAAACAATAACTATCTACAAACGATCCAGTTGTCAAACAGTAATTATCTACAAACGATCCAGGTGTCAAAACAGTAAGTATCTACAAACGATCCAGGTGTCAAAAGAGAAAGTATATACAAACGATCCAGACGTCAAAACAGTAACTTAAATATCTACGAATGATCCATATGTTAATAGCGACTGTCAAAATCATAAGTATCTACAAAAGGACAGCTACATATTACATTCGACTGATCTATAGAAAAATAAATATGGGGCTTAAATGTAAAACTACGTAGTGAATTCAGTTTGAAGTAATGTAGAAATATTACTTACTAGTTACTAGTAATATGTATAATATTATAGAGTCTGCTGAAGTAAGGTTGATTCATGGAAACAACGTCAGTCATGGAATAGTAGAAGTGTGGCAAGACAGCCAGTGGAAAATCTTGTGTGCTTGGCCGCAGTTCTTTGCCAGAGCTGCCCTTGTCATATGCAAACAATTGGGATTCAGCCAAGGAACAGTTTTACCAATGGCGGCTTACGGACGACAAATGGGAAACTACACCCATCCATTCAAGGGGTGTTCTGATGGTCAGGATAGAATACAGAATTGTCAGTTCGACAAAAATTACACTCCAAATGTCTGTGCCACACAGGATGTCCATTATGGCTCCGTCAGCTGCTACGACAAACAAGAAGGCCAGTATTCTACTTTATATTTGTGTAAAGAACTAGTACTTTTGAACTAGTAGACAATGTCTTTACTAAATCTGATCAAAATAAGACTTCCTAGATTCGCACCAAATAAAATCTTTCAGCTAAGTTAGCTGAATGTATACGGTGCGGATCTAAGAAGTCTGATTTTAATTAGATTGTGTTTAAATTACTCTTTGTAGAGAGTGGCATTCAACTCTCACCAATACATAAAGACAGAGAGGACTTACAGCCAAACAGCGGTAAAGTTGAAATATTCCAGCAACAAGTTTTTGGTCAAGTTTGCTCTACCTACTTTGCTGAAGAAGAGGCCAATGTAACGTGTAGGCAGCTGGGATTTTTAGGAGGAGTACCGATGACCCATGAAGCAGATAATACACTACCTTTCTTGCTAACAGGATTGCATTGCCAGGGCAATGAAAGTAAATTATCAGAGTGTTATCAAGAATTGCAGATTTGTTACACTGACCAAAGAGCAGGTGTATTGTGTTACAACTCATCAGGTATGTTCAACATGACTAAGATGGTGATGTTAATCTCAAAGACTGAAATTTAGTGAAAAAAGCCAATTCCAGTAATTAATGTATTTTTATCATCTATCTAATCGTTAGAATTGGAAAAAAATGTAAGTACAGTAACTATTATGATATTTTGTTTTATTTCCAGGGGTTGAATGTTCTCTTAGTGATAGCAAAACTAGTGCTGGTGGAATTGCAGTTATTTCTGTAGATGGCATCGAAGGTACTATTTGTGGCCAAGGCTGGTCAAACTTGGACGCCCAAGTGTTCTGTCGACAGATAGGATACGTGACTGGAATTTCATACACGTAAGTTTATAATTGCATTCCCTCTGATAGCTTTATTGCCAGTTTTTAAGTACCATTCCTCATATTCCTGTACATAGAAAACGAAATATATTTTGTACCTCTATATGAACAGAGACAAATCATCAGAATTATCGAGAGATGTCTACTTGTCCAGCGTGAACTGTTTAGGAGTGGAAAATTCCGTGATTGCATGCAAAGGATCTGGATGGAGGAATGTGAATCGTACCCAATGTAACCATGACAACGATGCGGGGGTATACTGCTACAAAAGTGGTTAGTGTCGATTATATTGTCTACACTGAAGTAAATACCAATGCTTTACCCCCTTCAACAAAGTTCAGTTATAAGTTTATTTCATGAAAATCTTTACCTCCCTACAGTACGTTTGTCCTATGGATACCAAAGGGAGAATGCAACACTCGGCATCGTTGAAGTTTTCCAGAAGTATTATTGGACTACTTTATGTGCGGATAGATTTGACCAAATGGACGCTGATGTCGTCTGCAGACAACTAGGTTACTCAAGTGCAAGGGTCCTCCTTCCAGGCCAGTTTGGAAGATCAAGGAGATATGTTTATACAATATCCATAAATTGCACAGGAAATGAAACTGACATCTTGCAGTGTGAGCATGACACCGGATACTGTTCTTCAGATAACTACGCGTCTCTTCTTTGCACACACAAAGACACAAATCCACGTAAGTCTTCGTCCTTCTATTGAATTAAGAAAATTATATTGTTTCTTGAAAGCTTTCAGTACACATATATAAATTGTTTGGTATACTTGGTTTAGAGCTCAGCGTTAACATTGAGCACTCTGACAATGGTCGAGTGATGGTTCGACAGTTTGACGTCAAAGGAACAGTGTGTCGTTATGGATGGGACAACATGGCTGCAATGGTCCTCTGTCGAGAACACGGCTTCAAGGGAGGAGTTGTTTACAGTTCTTCTGATGAACTCACTCGCTATCAACCCATATGGGTAGGGAGTGTCAAGGTAGGCAAGAAATACATGTTATCCTCTTTTTTAAAATCACGACTTTTAAAAGATTGTAAGCAAATAATTTTTCACCATTTCAAATTGTTTTCAGTGTTCAGGCCAAGAAAAGCGTATAGTGGACTGTGTGTTTAATTACTCCTTGTCGAGAGAGTGTGGATATGATAGGTCTTCAGCAGGCGTCCTTTGTTATAATGCTACAGGTTTGTTAATACAATTTTCTGATGATGATTTACAAATAATATATCAATTAAGAAAAATGTTCTGTTACAGGCGTAATTTGCTTACGTTGTAATTTTGTGTCAATATCTGAACAGAGGCTAAGAATGTCTTTTCTTCTATTTCGACACTATTGGAGCTGAAACGTGTCTTCTTGACGCATTCATTCAATCAAAATAGATATATAAAATAATATTCTATGTAAAATCTAAAACGTCATAAAGTTAAGACAACAATTTAAAACATTTTAGGCATGAAAATTCGTCTTGCTGGAGGTTTTAGTGCAAACCAAGGCAGAGTGGAAATATCACGTGACTCAGTTTGGGGAACAATCTGTCACAATAGATGGTCAACAAGTGACACTGATGTCGTGTGTCGACAGCTTCATTATGCCAGCGGAACTTCGTATCGCGATTCGTATCATGGTGCAGGGACTGGCCCTGTCCTGATGGACAGAGTCAGCTGTTTCGGGTCCGAAAATTCTATTTTTGAGTGTGCTAATCTAGGGTGGAATCAGTCAGCGGACGCCTGCAAAGATCACTCTCAAGACGCTGGAGTGTACTGTATGCCATGGGGTAATTTTTTTGTGCATCATAATGTATTTTTTTCAGTTTGATTTAAAATAGGGTGATTATGATACTTTTCAAAAAAAGGAAAACTTAAAAAAAGTGTTAGAGCTCTTCTTCCAAATCGTCCACCTAAACAGTAGAGCTAAAGGTCTCAGAATCTTGGTTTAAGGATAAAATTTTAAATAAAAAATGTAGAAAAATATAAATATGAAACACATTAAGAGGGCTGGGTGGTTGTGGCCATTTTCAGACTATATTGATCTCCTTTAGAAGAAGAGCTCCATATGAAGATATACAAAAATGATCAAATTTTAAAACAAAAATGTATGACATTTTTCTTTGCCAAATGATAGTTCACAGCTTAAGATATCATATCTAAAAAATTAAGTTATATCTGATGGTTAATTTGTTGACCCCCAGCCTCCTTAATCTGTAGGTAAAAGTTTCAACAGTTTCTTGAAATCATCGTCAGTAACAAAAACTGGTTTGATGGCTTTTCAGTGAAACTGTCCCAACACCGCTATGGAACAGTGCTGGCATGGAAGAAAAACAATTATGGACCAGTTTGCGCCGATGGATTTGACGAAAATGCAGCACGTGTCGTCTGCAAGGAATTGCAATACGACTATTCGATCAAATTCTGCTGTTCAGGATTAGGACCTGAACCAAAAAACCTTGATCTTGCAATGTCAGATGTTCACTGTGAGGGAACAGAGAGCGGTTTAAGGCAATGCAAGAACGAGTATAACAAACCTAGTTGCAGTGATAAGAATTATGCAGCAGTTTACTGCACCAAGACTAATCCAGCAGACAGTACTAGTAAGGGTTGTTCAAATCATTTTAGATTCATTTTGTGAACTGATGATTGTATACCATGTACAGCTGGAGTGAATCACATGCAAATATTATATTAAAGCTTTACTGCGTTGTTTACCAAAGACAAGTAGTAGCCATTACCTCTGTTTCTTGCAGAATATTTTAACTTCTTCATTTTGTATGTTTCCATGATTTCAGTAAGTGTTCATGTTGGGCAATCAAACGTCGTTGAAGTAACTTACGTGTATCAATCTGGTCTGCTCAGCGCTGCTGATTTTACCGACAACGATGCCTCAGTCATTTGTCGAGAAAACGGTTTTCTGTCAGGGCAAGCTCTCCGGCATCTTCGACCCAAGTACAAAGACTTTTTCTGGCTGAGGAATGCCTCATGTCTTGGAAATGAAAATAAGCTCAATGAATGCCCAAATGCTAGAAGGATTGGAGACTTAGGTCGGTTTGATGATAGCATTGCAGCAGCTGTTGCTTGTTCAAATACAAAAGGTATGGATATATTGATGACTTAAAATATTGTCTGTTCTACTATCTCATTATATACTACATACCATAGTAATCAAAATCATTTTCAGAACCACCAGGAACTCAATTGAGACTCTCTTATGGGAGTAAACTAAGCGAAGGGCATGTTCAACTTAACTTGAACGGAGTTTGGGGGTCGTTATGTGCGGGTAACTTGACGGACGCAGAGGCCAAGGTCATATGTAAACTAAGCGGATATAGAGATGGTGTTGCCATGCCTGGCGGCTTTTTCGGGCAAAATAACCCTAGGGGCACCCCTTTGCTGGATTACTTAAACTGTACTGGAGATGAAAAACGCCTTATAGACTGTGTGGTTTCGTTATCGTCCAGTCAGTCACTGTGTCCCCTTAACATGATGTCGGGCGTGAAATGTTACGAAGCGGGTATGTATTGTATAGGAGATTAGTAACAACATTTTTTAAACAGTCACAAACACCGGTAAAAGGCTTCATACAAAGTCAACAAATGTCAGATTTATTCTCCAACAGCAAGTGCAACAATGAAATTGAATATCTCTTTACGATTAAAAAAAATACTTTTGTACACTATGTTAATTTTAAGAAAATTTGAATAGAAATTCTTAATTGCATGATTAAAGCATGTGAAAGGCTTGAAAAATCGAATAAAGCAGTATTATATTCACATTTTCAAGTTTAAGATGCAAATAGTATCCAAAACTACTAGTAGTTCAGATTCAACCTGAAATTACTGTATGGAACGAAAATCATTATTCAATCAACGATTCGTAGATTTGTAGCAACGAATTAATACCCTTGAAATATTTATAAATACTGAGTATGAAATTTTACCGCAAAACTTTCTTAAAACTAACAATTTCTTTGAAGTTCGCTTGACTGGAAGCAGCCGAGTAGATTATGGACGTCTAGAATTTTGGAATTATGATGGCTGGTATTCTGTCTGCGATGAAAATTTCGATGATCAAGATGCTACTGTTGTCTGCAAAGCCTTGGGCTTTACACTTGGAAAAGCTCAGTGCTGTTCCGCAGTGGGAAGTAATGGAACTGTAAACCCAATTCTGTTCTCCAATTACACATGTATTGGTAATGAGTCAAGCCCACTTTCATGTACCTACGGGAAGACTGGACGGTGTAGGAGCGGAAAATATGCATCGGTGCTTTGTTTGAAAACGTCCATACAAGAAGGTTAACCTCAACAGCAAAATTTCATAATCTATTGCTTTACCTTTAAAATAATTTGTAGTTACAGATTTTTTTCTTTCGTATGTTCAGTTAAGCCATTTTCTTTCAGGTCTGACAATTCATTTAGAAAGCTTTTATGGACCTGTTGTAATTTCAAGATATGGCCTCCCAGGATATGTCTGTAGTAAACACTTTGACAACTTTGATGCTACTATGATATGCAAAACAAAAGGATACCAGAAAGGGTACGCAGTGAATGTTTACAATGACTTCACACTTCCGGTTCTTCTAGGAAACTTAACATGTAATGGCGCCAATGAAATTGACAGATGTACCTTCTCCAAGTTTAATGACGATCATGGATGTTCTGATAGCGATACAGTTGCAGGCGTGATTTGTTCCAACTCAGATAAACTAATATTTAAGCTTGATAGTCAGATCAAAACGAAGGGTATCCCAAAATTAGAAATCGGAAGCAATACTCTGTACTTGGATGATACTTACTTTGATGAAGCAGCAGTCAATCTATTTTGTCTAAATGCAGGCTTTGCAGGCGGATCCAAACTTTCTCAATCTATAAGTTTGCCGTCAGTACACAATATTGTCACAGATATCAGGTGTTCTCCTAATGCTCCTACAGTTACGCACTGTAAAGGAAACTGGGATCCAAGGAAATCCAAGTCTGTACCATTATATGAAATTTCCTGTTTTTTTCAAGGTAACCAAACTAAAACTAACAGAGAACTCTTTGTGACTTTTAATCTTTTTAGTTTTTTCCTACCTAGGTGTCCTCCATCTTGTAATGCATGTATGCTGATTGCAACTTCGCAATTATTGCTTTTTATTTTCTGCTGTCGCCCAAAGAAAAAGTAATGATATAATCCCTGTAGTGAAAGTAGCTAAAAAGAAAATATGGTTGAAAACTGTCAATTCGAATCGGAATGAAATAAACCAAAGTTTAAATAGTAATGAGTGAAATCAAATCTGTATACGAAGATGCATTGATTATGCTATGTATATATCTGAAGGGATTTACTGATTTACTTTTGTGGAAAATTGCATGTTGTCTGTCAATGAAATTTTTCTGGAATGGTTTATTTATAGCACGATTTCAAGGAACTTTCTATGGCGCTGTTGAATTATATAGCAGCAATTCATGGGGGACAATTTGTCCGGAATCTTTTGGACAACCAGAAGCAGGTAGGCGACTAAGATAAATACAAAAAAATGATGAATAAATCGTTTGACTGCCTGATACTTCATGTTCTCTTTCCCCTCCTAAATTGCAGACGTTGTTTGTTCCACACTTGGATACAAACAAGGTTTAAACGTATGTTGTTCTCCATTTGGACCGGTCCCAAGCAGACAGTTATTTAAGGATTTCCAATGCAGCGGATCAGAAAAGAACATCATGGAATGTTCGCACACTTTTCAGCGATCCGGAGTTCAGTGTCGTCGGAACACACTGGAATATGCTTCTGTTCTGTGTTACAATGGCATACTGACTCAAGGTAAGCGATCTTCATGTAAGAGGGTTGGATGGTCTTGGCCATTTTTAGATCATTTGAACCTTGTGGTAAAGAAGAACTCTGTGTAAAAATATAGAAATTGCATTGAGCATGTGCTTTTTTAAAATTTATGACTAAGAAATCAGATAGTGTATAATTTATTTGGATTTCTAGACCATCCAGCCTCCTTAAGAGTGTTGACCATGGTAAAACTGTGAAGAAGTTCTGCAAGACAGCAAGTTCTGTTTTCGAAAATGTCGCAAAGTCTAAAGGAAAAAAAAATTTAGTAGTACATTTTTGTTTTAGATTTCAGTATTAAGATTAATGGCGGAAAATATTTTGGTGACGTCAGAGTAAGCTACATGGGTGTAGACGGCCGGATTTGTCGAGACGGTTGGGATGATAATGACGCCCGAGTTGTGTGTCGACAAAATAATTATATCCGAGGACTTGCCTACAGCCATTACGTAGAGGAGGGAAAACAGTCAAGTGGACCCTACTGGATTTCAAACGTTCAATGTCAAGGTCATGAGGGCTCCTTACAGGAGTGTCCCCATTCCCCGGTAGGATCCGTTACTGAGTGTAAATCACTCCACTATGCTGGTGTTTTCTGCTTCAATGACCAAGGTTTGTGAAATATTAACATTATAAGATATAGGTTCAAATATTATATTGTATTTCTGGTTCGAGAACTTTGCATCAATATCTGATACTTGTTCAATTTTTAAGTCATTTGTCACTCATTTCTTGGAAATTAGATTGGTGGGGGTTATACAAAAATTTTTTATCGTCATTTGGTTTATAAAAAGATAAATCTCTTTCAGGTATATATTACCGTATATCCGGCGGAGACCCTTCAGGTAGATCAGGGAGGGCAGAGATTTTCTTCGACGACAAGTGGGGCACATTGTGTAATACAAACTGGGGTGAAGAGGAAGCAACTGCCCTTTGTAGACAAATGGGATTTCATGGTGGTGATCCCATTGAAGGTCCGTATAAGGTACCTGGTAAGGGCGTGGTCTATAAATCCTCATATCAGTGTACTGATGAAAGTACAAGTCTCACTGACTGCCCTCACAGTGGATGGCAGGAAGTTGTCGATGGAGAATGCATGGATCACAGAAATGATGCTGGAGTGTTCTGTTATCAGAATGGTAACTCATTTTTTTTTTCAAACTTTGCATTTTCATGATAGATTGGACTTGTCGAGTGTTGCTGATAATGAAAGGACGTAAATCTAACCTATTGATCATAGATAAGGATGTGCGCGCCTATTAAAATCAGTTACAATTCGTCAGGGTACGATTAGTCTGCTGAAAGTCAACACTACCGATTAAGTTGTAATATATGAACATACAGTATTTAGTAATTTTTATCACTAGGTTTTTTTAAAAGCAAAATTTTTCTTGTAAAAAACTTTATTTAATATGCATTGTACTAGGAAAACTGGGTTAGGACAGTTTATGATAAAAAAAAAACAATGATAAAATAAGCCAAGTAAAAATAGAGAAAAAAACAAAACGTTGAAACCCCCTTTTAAAATTTGAAAACGGGTTTTTTTCTTCAAATTTTAGTTCGAATTTATAACAGCATAGGTAGAAGTAAATCATCTGGCCCAGTGTTACTATTCCGACAAAATCAGTGGTACCTACTGTGCGATGATGGTTTCACAGACCACGGAGCTACTCTGGTGTGCCAGGAACTGGGTTTTCCCTATGGCTATGCATCTTGTTGCTCCATCGACGGACCACTGAGTTTTCCAATCTGGATGAACCACACTCTAGACTGTTCTTCAGGAACACATGTAGAAGAATGTCTTCAAAGAAAGACTTGTGCCAGAAGGAGTTATGCCTCTGTAACTTGCACTCATCTACCAAAGCCAAAGCCCAGTAAGTAGAGTCTATATTTTACTGTGATATAACAGCGGAATTGAAAATCGTCATATATGTAAGCATATTGAAATTATATGAATGAACGCTGTTGATTATTGATAAGAATTTAACATTTTCAGACACCTCTCCAAAACCGGATGCTCCGTTACCTTCAAAGGCAGAAGATAACAAAACAGTTGTGGCAGTAATTTCAGCAGTTGCTGTATGTTTGTTGTTTGTAGTAATAGTCATAGTTGTGATCAAGTGTCGTCAATCTACGAGAAGAGAAACAGCTAGTGATGCGCATGGCACATTCAGGGAAGGCGTGCTAAACAAGGCACGTGACGGTTCTATCCACGCCCAAAATCCACTCCACAATCTGTACGACTCTGCCGACATCAGAATACAAAATGACAGCGTTCAGTATCACAATCATGGTAATGACAGGAGTCCAGCACTAGCTTTCTCTAACATCAATTATGATACAATTCATTTTTCACCAGAACAGGCAGACAGTGACAATGATACAAGCGATGATCACATCGTTGAACATAAAGACACAAAGCCTCTCGGCATCAAATCCGAGGACTCATCGTATGCAGTAATGAGACCTAATTTTTCGGCGTCCGATTTACATGTGTATGATAACCAACAGAACAAAACTTACCACAATTGTGTGACAATAGAAACTACCCCGGAGGATCATCCGAGGCCCCACTTCACTAGATCCCTATCAGAATGTAGGGAAATATCCCCTCCCGAATGATAGTTTGTGTTATCCTTCATTCTACGTTTGTCAATTAGTCTTCCATAATGAAATCTAGATAATTTATACAAGCTTTAAATCAATGTATCCTTCTACCTCATTTCGTACAGGGTATATATCAAAACACTTCATTTTCAAATTATGGGGGCATTATTTAATAGTTTATTTCAGATTCATTCCAAAGTATCTAGAAATGTATAGTGCTGTATTGTTGCGTCGGATACTATATTTACTGAGTGTTCAATTGAAACACTATGATGATAAAAATAAAAAAAGTTACAAATGTGTGTTATTAAACATTCATTTAATATGAAATTTTGTCTCATTTATACATTACATTCGTTGAGATGAGCTTTGAAATCTTCTATTTTACATCTTCTTTTGTACAAAAAAAAACGAGGACAAATATTTAAATTAAAATATAATCTACAAGTTACAATGGTAATAAATACCTACTAGCATTTCATTATCATTTTAATAAATATCAACAATAACCAGGTAAGAATTTTTCTTTAATGATTTTAGACAAAGACCATTACGCCTTTCTGTGGACATATACTTTACGCATTTAATTTTATATAAATTAAATAATAAATCACTATGCAAGTCCGTGAAAATTTTTTTTTAGCCTTTTTTCAACAAATAATCTTGCATATTACTAGAAAAACTCAACAATCGTGTAGGCAAATTAAGTATTACATACTAGAATTAAATATTTGAGAGATTAAAACTTCTATTATGATAATTTTGAAAGGAGAGGACAACAGAACTTTCGTACATCTCTAAATGGATGTGGCATTTACAATTTAATGCTTTTTGATAAGGAAGGCCCATTCCGGCGTCTGTGGAATGAGCCCTCCCTAGAAGGCCGAAAGTTTCCGAAAACGTTGAAATAATTTTGCTCTGGTGAATCAGTCCAGTGTTGTGTATCACTGGCGTCATCACCAGACAGAAAAAAGCCAAAGGAAGAATTTAGAATAAATTAGTTTAGTCAGCAAGTGGGAATCTTAGATCTGTCTCTAAGGCTCACAATTCTGGAAAATTCCGACAAAAATAAGGTCCGAAAGAAGATGAAAAGAAACGATTAACTGCCAAATAAAGAACTGCGGGAAAAACAGCTCGGGTGTCCCCTCCTTGGTCCCAAAAATGTTGAAATAATATTTTAAAATTTAAAATGTCCACACAAAATCGGTTATATAGCTTGCTTCTTTTTGTCTAATCCCTGTTTCTTCTGCAATAACAAATAAAACATTATGTTAGAAAGCTGTGTAGGTAGATTAACATAAATAGAGAGATAGAGATAGAGTGAGAGGATTGAAAGGAACTAGTCTGACTATTAGAAACGGAAGAAATACCTACTGAAAGTAGCATCGTGAAGAATAAACAAGAAATAATTATTAGCTTCTCTTCACTTACCCAAGGCAACAACACAGACACATTAAAAACCGTCTCATTCTCTGAAATGTTAAATGATACAAAATTTGATCAATTAAATACAACACTAACGTAGTATTGAGAAAAAAAAATTGATGGTAAAAAATTGAAACTCACCCCTACTGATTCAGAAACCTGTCCATCCTCATCATCTCCCTTCTCTTTTTTGTCCTTTTCCTTCTTTGTTTCTTTTCTCTTCTTCTTTTCCTTCTTTTCTCTTTCCTTCTCCTCTTTCTTTTCTTTCTTCTCTTCCTTTTCTTTCTTCCTCTCTTCCTTTTCCTTATCTTTTTCTTCCTTTTCCTCCCTCTTCTTCTCTTCCTGTTCCTTCTTCTTCTCTTTCTTTGCTTTCTTCCTCTCTTCCTTTTCCTTATCTTTTTCTTCCTTTTCCTCCCTCTTCTTCTCTTCCTGTTCCTTCTTCTTCTCTTTCTTTGCTTTCTTCCTCTCTTCCTTTTCCTTCCTCTTCTTCTCTTTCTTTTCCTTCCCCTTTTCTTCCTTTTCCTTCTTGTCTTCCGTAGCCTTCTTTTCTTTCTTTCCCTTCTTTATCTCTTTCTTTTCCTTCTTCATCTCTTCCTTCTCTTTTTCTTCCTTTTCCCCCTCTTCTTCCTTTTCCTGCTCTGTTTCTCTTTCATTCATCTCATCCTTATGTTCTCTTTCCTTCTCCACTGTCTTTTTCTTCTTTTCCTCCTTCTCTGTTTCTTCCTTGTCCTCCTCTTTCTTTACCTTCTCCTTGTTCTTCTAAAATTCAAATATGCAGTAACTTGTAAAATTGACCATAATTAGTTTACATTTGTCGTTAATAACGCATACTAAGTAGAGACAATGTACCCATTTTAGCAAGTACTTAAATATATACAATGCCCAGGAGTACCAAAATATGCAACAGACCAAAATATACAACAGACCAAAATATACAACAGTACCCAAATGTTTTCAAACATTTTTGATGGCATTTTGTGAAAGCCCTGGTTTTCAAACTTACCCCTTCTAGTTTAGAAACATTCTTTTCATCTTTCTTCTTTTCCTGCTCATTTTTGTTCATTTCCTGCTCTGTTTCTTCTTTCTTTTCCTGCTCATTTTTGTTCATTTCCTCCCCAGTTTCTTCTTTCTTTTCCTCCTCATTTTTGTTCATTTCCTCCCCAGTTTCTTCTTTCTTTCCCTCCTCATTTTTGTTCATTTCCTGCTCAGTTTCTTTCTTCTTTTCCTCCTCATTTTTCTTCATTTCCTGCTCAGTTTCTTTCTTCTTTTCTTTCTCATTTTTGTTCATTTCCTGCTCAGTTTCTTTCTTCTTTTCCTCCTCATTTTTGTTCATTTCCCGTGCTTTTTCTATTTCCTCCTTCTTATCCCTATTTTCTCCTTCATTCTCTTTCTTTTCATTCTCCTTTAATAGCAAATACTAAAGAGGTAGTTATTACATTCATAAATTTTTAAAACTTTTTGTACATTTCTGTTATATACATGTTTCTTGCGTAAAATAACTTGGAGGACGTAAATGTATGTTTCCTTGTCATTTTAAGGGGATTCTCATTACCTGTCCTTTCTTGACCCCCACATCAGAGCGATCAGCACTTCTAATGAGACTCGTTCTAGTACTCTGTAAGTAAAACACATTTAAACAACTGATTATCAAAATACAAGAGATTTGCAAAGAAATTGAGATTATCAAGTATTAAAGCAGTAAACAGGGTTTTAATGGATTACCTGTTCAGGTCTGTTCAATAAGTGTGTTCCACAAAAACCAGACATAAGAGATGCAATGTAATCGCGCTGCAAAAAAAAGTCATGTATAATGTTTTATAGCATAAAATTTGCTTGGAATAAAATGTTTAAATTTAGATTTCCCCTTTTTCTTAAAATCTGGAAGATTTAAGATTTGTTTATGGCAATGTCCGTACTCGAGCGTTGGGGTTTGTGTACAGGTCGAAGATTCCCCATCTCCGGTCATTCCGAGCTACCCTCCACTCTGCGTCTTCCTGTCATTAAAAGAACTTAATATCAAAATTTTAGATCTATAATTCAGCCGTAAGTTTTAAATTCTTCAGTACACTTTTTAGAAATTAAGAAAAGAGTTAAAAGGCGTATTTTCACTTACCCGAATTGATCCAATTCTCTGTGAGTGCCTAAACGGTGCACGAAATTCATATCTTCTACTTCGAGTGAAAGGCTAAAAAGAATGGGAAAGAGCTACGAATTGTATTGAAAATATTACAATTTTATTATAGTTTAATATTTATATCCACTGAATATTATTTTTCTTTATTTCTCAAGAAAGTCATTGTCATTCATCAGTTAGTAAACACCGCTAAGCATATCACTTCAACAGATTTCTTGAGCAGTAGCTCTTCCAACAAATGAAACGTACAATGATGTACAATTAGCAATTATACAATATTTATTTATGTAGCAATTATACAATATTTAACCTACTTAATCCTACTTTAAATGATTATTTGCACATATATACGTAAATATAAACAATAAAACGTCTTTCTTTGGTTGTTAGTACGGACATTAACATTGCAGCTATTGCAGAAAAAATATGCATTTTTCTGCAACAGCTGCAACATTAATTCCCGTACTAACAACCAAAGACAGCAGCATTTTATTTTTTAAATATTTACTCATTATTATATGGACATTATAAAAAAAAAAATAACACGAGTTAACAGTATTTTCAAAAAAAGATATTTTACGGTTTATGTTACTTGGATGATGAAAATGGTGGATAAAACCCATTTCTTCTTGAATGTAGACGTCGTCAGACAAAATGGACAGTTATGAGCCAGACATTTTTATAGAAATTCCCATTCACAATGATAACAGTGTGTGCAACCCTAAGTTAAACTAGAAAATTGACCTTTTTGCGGATGCAGAAGGCACTGTGAGCTAAGCATATCAATTTTTTCTTGACCTCATAAAAAACTTACTGAGGTTCCAAGAAGATGTTTAATACTTGCTTTATTTTGTTTTGTATAAATCAAGACTTTTTTCTTAATGGTTAGCCAAAAGATAGGGTTAAACCCTATTCCATAGACTACTGAAGAATAAAAATAGCAGGGAAATTTATGAGTATCACTCTAGTCTGTTAGAAGTTACTTTGAGTAATTATTAAACAGCACATCTTTTGAAACATGACCGTAGGAACCCGGGGGGGGGGCGTGCCCCCCCCCCGAATTTTGCCAATATATAGAATACAATAGAAAACTTAGCTACTATATGCTTGTGCCCCCTCAATAAAAACGGCTGATGACCTTTTTTTTTCTTTTTCATTTTGCTTGTCAAGGAATTTTGGTAGTTGATAGTGCCCCCCCCCCCCCAACTGAAAATGTTTGGCTGCCCCCCCCCCCCCCCCAACTGAAATTGCTTCCCACGGGCCTGTGAAATACCCTCGAGTGCCCAGTAGATGTGCACTTAAAAGAGTTATGTGCTAAGTGGCAATGAAATGAAATATCTGTTTAGTTCACCTGATATATTAATTTACTGTGTTACAGTCTAATTTTTTATTTATTTAAAACACATCAAAGCGATTTATTCATTATCAAGGGACAAAAAAAGTAAGGTTTTCGTCGGCCATATTTATTTTAGACTAGTAGTGGTGCATTCGGATGTACCACTATATATATATATATATATATATATATATATATATATATATATATATATATATATATATATATATATATATATATATATATATATCATAACAATACCATTATTTCAGTTAAGACAATTAAATTAATTTTGCCCGACCTGTAAACTGAAGAAACTGTAGGGATATACAGATATTCTGTTTATATGATTAAAAACTCTCTGAGTCCATCCATACAGTTAAAATATAACCTATGGATGTTTTATTTTATTTTTACTTTATCTTATGATATATATTGCTTTATTATTTTTTTTAGTAGTTCAATAAATTATAAATGAATCTGAAAATTTGATTAACTATTTCAATATATTTATGCAATTTTTTATTAACTTTACTAACATCTATGACAATTGTATTAACTTTACTAACATTGAGAGAGGAACTTGCAAGTTGACGGATCCTTTTGTGTATCATAATGAAATTACACGATGAAATATATTCAAATTAACTATGGATCTATTTATACTTACGAGTTCTTCTCTTAAGATTTCCCTAAGGTTTTTAATGAACTCTCTGCCATTGTTGAAAGTTGGCATATTCTCATCACTGTCATGTTTGACATCGTCACATTTCTGCTTTTTGATGTTATCCTCTTCCTTCTTTTCCGCCTATATACAATACAGAGGAGGATATTTAAACCATCCGAAGACTTTAAAAAGTTATTCAATTTTAATATATTCTTCTTAGACATACCAACACCGATATTGCTTTGGTACACGAATTCTTAAACAATATCCATTGTTTATTTAACCTTAGTTTTCATAACTAATATTTGTTTTTTTTATTCCCAGTAACAAAAAACTGTTTCCGCAATATACCCGAACGAGATATGCAAAAACTATTTCCGAGCCGGCTTTATAACATTAAAGATTAAAATATTCCCTGAAGACTTACCATTTTTAAACAAGTATGATTTGATTCCTGTTTATGTTTTAGCGACTGATGACTGTGACGTCATAATAAATAACGTCACAATATTGAGACGAATGGCAAGCAATAAAGAGAGATAAATGTTTTTTACAACATTATTACTCATTAAAATATATCTTGCATTGTCCTATGACTAGTTCATTTATATATGCCTATAAATAAGCTAGTTGCCTAAGCACACATTTCCACAAAGCCAGAGTACTTACCATTTCAATTTTACTGCATTGTAAAATCTTTACATCTTACAGGCCTATCAGACTTCTTATGAAGAGAAATCCATTGTGTCGTCATAGTGAGTGACGTAACAATACCAATTTGAAGCAAATATTGGGTATATCCAAACAGGTCGGATAATTCCGGACAATCTTGAGAAACACGTTCTCTACGTAAACAGTATCTCCCATATCCAAACATCTGACTTTTCTTCTGTGATAAAAATCTAATGATGTTTAATTCTTCCATAATCTAAAATAATTTAAATAAAATGATTTTATAACATAAATGAAAAAAAAATAAAAATAATTTAAAATAACATTAAAATTATATACGAATTGTATATATGTCTATAATACATTCAGCTTCTTGTCTTAATATGTACAAGTTGATAATCGTAGTGTATATTACAGTCATTAAAAAATGTCAGCTGACCTGGCTCCGGGGCCATAAAACTTAGATGAGCTCACTTTTGATCTCAGTCTCACTTTTATAAAAGGAATATATATTGGAAAAGTGAGGCTGAGATATATTTGAGTATATAGGGATGTAATATAGATACCAGTTGTTGTTGTTTACCGCATTTAGGAAAATAAAACGACAAATCGTCCTCAAACTTTTGCAGTATGATGACCGTAACAGAACTTTAAGATAACTGTAACCAAATAACCGTAAAGTTATGATGACCGTAATAGATTTATTCTATTTTTTCTTTTCTAATGTAGAGGTAGATATGTCATGTCCCTCATTTTTTGGCTAAAATTTACAGAGATGTTGGTAATATATGTATTTTCAAATATATTATAATATAATTAATATTGATAGTCATTCTCCCCCCCCCCCCCCCCCGAAAAAAAATACAAGCTAAATGCGGAAGGCCTGACGCAAGGTTTATTTTAATCAGTTCATTTCCCAATATGTCTAAATGAAATAAAATGTAAATAAATTAGAAAATGGACATAACGTTTATGTGAATGTGAAAATAAAATCAAAAACTTGAATTCCGTAAAAGTGGATATAAAAGCCATTGCAAAGCTCAAGTTGGTGAAACAAAACACGAAAACTAGTACATGTACACCAGACAAAAATAATTACAATGTACTCCCAGCAGCTATCAAGGCGTCTGGACGATTTTGTTTTCTCTCTGTAGAATATTGGATGGAAAATCTTGTTTATGTATAATTGTTTAGCTATAGATTGACTGAAAAATACTGATGCATAGACATTGTTATAAGATTTTAATTACTTCAAAATATTTCCCCATTTGGAATAAATTTTGCATATAACCATAATAGCCGAACGAATAAAAATTACACTTTTTTATTACGCTGGAAGGGAAGTCAGGATTTCCACTAAGGGATCAAAAGTTATTTAACTTCCAAGCAAAAAAGAGGAATGATGCATACTATACATACATTAGTTTTGGAATGAAGGGACACCTACTTTCTACTTAATATACTCTTCTTAAATCAACTAGACTAAGAGTGATTATAGTTATTAATGTAATATACATTTCAAATATTGGCAGTTTCTTGTGTCATTTTACTTTTTAAAAAAATACGCCCTCATCCCGACCTGGCCCTGTAGCCCGTAATTCAAGGTCTGGGCTACGGCATTAATGTTATAGAAAACTTCTCAACACTTTTTGACTATAAGGCTGTGATATACTGTAGATTCCAATGAAAATGTGAGGAATCAATTATCGCATAATTTCGCTAGAGGCCCCACTCGTGAAATAAAATACGAGTAAAATAATAAAATTTATTTTTTTTATGCTGAAATCCATGTAAAATATCTTGAATTAATGTCCTCGTGAATTGACATCTAAGGCTCATTTAGCGATATTTAAGTACTCGCCTAAAAACAAGGAATCTACAGTTCTCCCTCCATCAAAGAACTACGCACGCTAACCCTCGGTTCCCGCCTACATTTTACAACCATTTAATAAAATATTAATAGTAATTTGGTCATAAAAAACCTGTTTAAATGCAAAGAAGAGTTTCGTAAATAATTCAAAAACTAGTGTCAAGTAGTTAGTGGCACTTAATTACAACTTCTCTTTATAAGGAGGTAGAAAATATTATTCATTGAAATCAGACTTTAAAACATCATCAAATTTTCAAATACTCGTGGAAATGAATAAATGAACTTATATCTTTCCGTGTGTTTAACTTATGTAAAGTTCAACGTTTAAGATTATAAAGTACCCCGCCCACTTTGTTGTAATCTCATTTGAAATTGGTAATAAAATGACCATTTTTGCTTTTTTTTGTAAACATATGCCCCCCAAGCTTTGGTATGTATTTGTAAATACCTGGTAACAATTCATAATATCTGTTAGAAGGAATTTTTGTTTCACAAGGGGGGGGGGGTAAAAATATTTTTCGTTTTCTTTTGATTTCTATAGTGAAATTCAAAACTATAGTATAAGTTATCTCTCTCTATGAAAAATCATTAATTTAAAAATATGCAAACTTTTTAAAATTGACTGGGTGGTAGGCGGCAGAACAATACTATATCGATCGCAGTTTTTTTTCATTGATTTTACGCAGAAAGAAGTGTTAAGACTAGTTAATTATCTGAAAAAATTTGAACTCCTCTAAAATAATTTTTTAAAAAATATATGTCTTGATTGATCGCTGCCTCCCTCCTCAACATAAATAAATAAAACAAAATTGAAATATTTGAATATTTGATTATTAGTCGAACAAATAGGCATCACAGAAAATTTGACAAGCAAAGAAAAAAAACGAAAATATGATGTATTAAAAGATGGGGGGAGGTACTGCCTTGCTCCCTCTCTAACCATCTCGTTCAACTTTACTTACCTGTATAATCAGTTCAACATCCACTTTCTCACCTTAAATAAAATTCCGGGATGGAAAAAAACCTTTTCAGTCAACTCGCAACTTGACCGACTCTATTATGTTTACCTTCATCAAGTAAATTCAAAATTTACAACATGATATAAACACTTGTCAACATTTATGATGAGGAAGACATGTTGTACAATGAGCTAAACTCTCGACCATAATGTAACGGGGGGGGGGGGGGGTACTGATACTACGTGCCTGGAGAATGTCAAGCCATGCCAATGCAAATATAAAACCGAATTCAGTTTATGGGGGCATTAATATTGGAATCCGGTAGTTTATAAAGTTCTGGTTCTATCCCAAGAATCCCATCTAGGGATATACAGCACTGGCGGATTTAGAGGGGCATGGGGGCATACCCCCACCCGCTCCTAAAATTCCCCAAAATTAAGATATGTGTATACATATAAAGGAAAAACTGTCAAGATATAAAATTGAACATATTAAAATATGTTGGAAGTGAATAGATAAATTTATAAAGCACAACATTTGGCACTCTTACAAAAGCAGCGTTACAATGTACATGAATTTTACTTTTCAAGCAATCAGTGTCATCGGGGAAATGATTTCCTTAATCATCTATTCCACAATAAAGATCTGTCATCAGTTTTTGATACCAAAACATTCTTAGGACAATATCCCACTTAAAATGTCGATTTACTTGTACCAGAAATTCTTTTAACCTCGGAAAGTGAAGAAAATGATTTTGTTCACACGTGAAAATTGCGATCGGGGATCGGCAAGAATTAAGGTATGTCCATCCTTCTGTGATGTCATAGGTTTTTGCAAAATCTGTTATCTATTTAAATTCATACCCAATAGAAATAAATCTTTTGGAAGAATGATTTTCAATAGGTGTAATGAAAAATATTGTTTAGTGAAAGAACCTTAAGACTAAATATTTTTTTTATATTTAATCAATTATTTAATATTTAAAAAATGACGCTAAGGGCATTTTCTTTATTCTACTTCTAATGTCAAATGGCTTCCGTGATATTCACAATTCATGCATATTTATAAAGTAACAATTATTTTGGAACTTTCAGTATCAGAATTATGCATTTGAACCAGTTTTTACATAGTATTAATAATACTGTTTACTAAAAATGTTACGATTTTTTTATGCTGACATATACCTCTGTTTATTTATGCATGGCATCTTAAAAAATATGGCAACCTATACATTTTTGTAATTATTTATTAATTTAGGCTATATCTAGTGAAAATAAATGCACTTTTTCTATACTTTGAACCCATAAAATTTTGAGGATGGAATTACCTTAAATGTACTTTCTCTTCAGTTGTTGATGAATGCAATTAGAAGAATTTCTTGGGAAAAAAAGTGATCAGTAGTGAAATGTACATAAAATACTCGGAGATAGGCCCTTTTAGGAAAACAAGTCCAAAAGTGGCGCACACATTGCATGTGTATAGCTCTATGATCTGCTGTCTATTTTTTTTTTTTGTCGCCTGCAGAGCAGAGCGGCACTAAGGGATCACTTTACCCGGCGTCTGTCTGTCTAGCTGTCCGTCTGTCTGTCTGTTCGTCTGTCAATCCCTATATCTCAAGAACTGTAAGAGGTATGGATTGATATTTTGCACATATATTGCTTGGCACTACGGCTTTTGTAAATTACCATGGTTACCGACCTCGTGACCTCGACCTTTGACCTACTTTTCAAAATAGTTCATAACGCCGAAATACAGCATATTTTTGGCATTTAAGAGGTAAGTCTATGCTATATAGCATGTGCACTGTTTGTCATAAGACATTATGAAAAATACTAGCATTACAATCCACTTGACCTTGACCTTTGACCTACTTTGCAAAAAAAATATCTCGGGCAGTTTAATTAAACTTATGACTTTTGAATTTTGAGAGGTAGGGTTTAGATAATTAGCATTAATACATGTTTATGAGCTTATGATAGTGTACTTTGAAACTGTATAATATTCAGTTACCAGACAAACTTTTATTTTTAAATAGTATGAAAATACCTCGGGATCGGTATTCTACAATGGATCGTGTAGACTGAGAATTTCAGTAAAGACAGACTGAAATCTCTTTTGAATGATAATGGAAAACACATTTAGCTCATGAAAAAATACTTTGAAACTGTATGATATTCAATTACCACACAAACTTATATTTAAATACCATAAAAGACATCGGGATCGGTATTCAACAATGGATCTTTGTAGTAAAGACAGACTGAAATCTCTTTTGGAGGATTATTGGAAACACGCATTAATAAAGTGACAAATAGTTATTTCTATTAATTTTAATTTAATTATTAAAAGGGTTGTTGAACCATATTTTCTTTGATTGTCATATTCTATCGTAGTCATACTATCCATGGATGCCATTTTTTCTTTGCAGGGAAATGCATAAACTATCAGTATATCATGCCTATAGAAAATTAAAAGGTAACCAAACTTAGATTTATTCACATCTTTAATGAAGCTACAAAGCAGGCGACACATGCGTTCCTTGGAACACTCTAGTTTCTCTTAGAGTTGTGCACCTAATTGTAAACATGTATATCAGAAAGCAGTTAAGTTTGAATGTTTTTACATTTATGAGATATAATTAAGATGAAAAATATGATGAAGCAATAAAAAGCTGAGTATCATCTGTATTTGAGACTTACATACTAACTACTACGCTACACCACTCATAACAAATACCGGCATTCAAATCATGGTTGTGATATGACCCTTGACTAAATGGACTTAAAATATTTCTCAGAAAGATACGAATGTTGTGTAAAGTATAGTGGGTCTGTGGTTCGATCATGCTTTTGTAAAGCAAAAAATGTATATTCTTAAGCAAAGTTTAAGGATAACCTTTCAGACAAATGGAGCGAAGACGGACTCATATGGAAAAATTGTTATAGTATGAGAAAATAATCATTTTTCCCCCTTGGAGTTTGTATGCAATTTCATAGACAAATAATTTCAATCTTTGTGAGATTTTTGTAAATTGTGGAGATTCTACACAAAGTATACCTAAGGTTAGGTGAAATATCTAAGAAAATTTGTTATAAATGAAAATTAATTATTCACTTCGTTGTTTATTGCACCATAGGCATTTATGCTCGCCTTGTTCGCCCATCTTCTTTATTTCTATTTTTAGGAAGACATGTAACTTCGCTTATGAAGGCTAAATAAGGTTCAATTTTACTTTTAAATCACTAAAATTCAGGAACTTCCAGTGGCTTCGCCCCTGGGCCCCCACCAGGGCGTAAATTGGACCCGCTAGGAGCTTTAAGGTGGTCGCCAAACCTCTGTATCCTTGAAAAAATCCCCCCCCCCCAACCCAAATTCCAAGATCCAGCCCTGTACAGTACTGTCCTTTTGCTTCAGATTTATATTTACTGCATATTACTAGCTAAATTAAAACATCATTATAATGAAAATAAATAAGGAACAGATGTGTGTTCTTGAACATTCATTTAATATGAAACTTTGTCTCAATTATATATTACATACCTTGAAGCGAGCCTTGAAATCTTTTTTATATAATTTTTGCACAAATAAGAAATAACAGACAAACAAAATATGTATAACTTGCATGTATGATAAAAAGGCAGAGGTAATGGATATCCACTAACATTTCATTAACATTAACAATTAGCATAAAGCTCTTTCAATAAATATCTGTAATGATCAGTTCAGTCATTTTAACAATTAGACATAGAAGTTTCGGCCAGATAAACATTACGCATTTTATATAAATGACCTCTTCAGCTGGCCATAGTTACGATTTTAGCCTGTGTTATATCATTACAAAAAAGAAGTGACTTTAAAAATAAACAAACTAGAAAAAAATCAACAACTGTATCTGCATATTTAATTCGGTATTACATACAATTATTAAATATTTCTATAAATAAATTACTATAAATAAGTTACAAGCTTAATTATAATAATTTTGAAAGGAGAGGACAACGGAACTTTCGTACATCTCTAAATGGATGTGGTATTTACAATTTAATGCTTTTTGATAGGGAAGGTCCATTCCGGCGTCTGTGGAATGGGCCCTCCCTAGAAGGCCGAAAGTTTCCGAAAACGTTGAAATAATTTTGCTCTGGTGAATCAGACCAGTGTTGTGTATCACTGGCGTCATCACCAGACAGAAAAAAGCCAAAGGAAGAATTTAGAAAAGGTTAGTTTGGTCAGCAAGAGGAATCTTAGATCTGTCTCTAAGGCTCACAATTCTGGAAAATTCCGACAAAAATAAGGTCCGAAAGAAGATAAAAAGAAAGGATTAACTGCCAAATAAAGAACTGCGGGAAAAACAGCTCGGGTGTCACCTCCTTGGTCCCAAAAGTGTGGAAATTATCTTTATTATAAAAAAATCAACCGGCGTAAATTAGGTGGCTCAGCTTAGTCTTCTCTGTTTCTTCTGCAATAACAAGTGAAACAATTTGTTAAAAAGCTGTAAAAGGTTGTAACATTAGGAGAGAGAGAGAGAGAGAGAGAGAGCTAATAACAAAAAATAAACATCAAAAATTTGTGTCCTGTAGAACTAATTTAGACCAACTTATGTAACATTTGTGAGAAATAAATAAATAAATTTGAATAATATTAGCTTCTCTTCACTTACCCAATGCAACAACACAGGCACATCAAAAATCTTCTCATTCTCTGAAATGTAAAGTATCTTTTCTGAACTTTCTCTGAGAACATACACATTTATTTTATCATTTAAATACAACAATGTCAGAAAAAATTATCTCATATCATGAGAGTCCTCATATTAAAACTTACCCCTACTGATTCAGAAACCTTCTGTCCATCTTCCTCTTCTTTTTTGTCCTTTTCCTTCTTTGTTTCTTTCCTCTTCTTCTTTTCCTTCTTTCCACTTTCCTCCTCTTTCTTTTCCTTCTCCTCTTTCTTTTCACTCTTCTTCTTTTCCTTCTTCTTCATTTCCTTCCTCTCCTCTTTTTCCTTCTTCTTCTCTTCCTTCTCAATCTTTTTCTTTTCCTTCTCCTTTTTCTTCTAAAATTTAAACATGCATTACTTAGTAAAATTGACCAGAATTGTATTTATATAGTATAATAAAGCATACTAAATATAGGTAAATTAATAAATCTAGACAACAGATCAGTTAAATACAACACTATCCAAATAGTTTCAAATAATTTTGATGGTGAAAAAAAATCCTTCTTTATTTTTTTTTTAGAGTACTCATACTCAAACTTACTCCTGCTGGTTCAGAAACCTTCTGTCCTTCTTCTTTTTCCTCCTCATGTTTGCCTTTTTCCTGCTCTGTTTCTTTTCCGCTCTTCTTTCCCTTATTGTCTCCTTCCTTTTCCTCTTTCTTTTCCTTCTTTTCTGTGTCCTCCTTTTCCTCATTCTCCTCTTCTATCTTTTCCTTCTCCTGTTTCTTCTAAATTTAAACATAGCATTTTTACTTACATGTAATGAGGTCATCATGTTATGTATAAAGCCAGTTAAGATTAAAAAAAATTGTAGAGTTGTACTAATGGGACCAATACCCCCGGTGAGGGTACATTCAAAGCATGTATTTCATCAAGTCCACAGATGCACTACAAGAAATTATGGTTTGAATATCCTTTGAGATTAGCCGGAAAGTGATCTAAACGCTGAGTTAAACCTTACATCTACATGTAAAGACAATATAGACGGAACGGACTGAGTAATTATTACTGTATGTCCCCTAATTTATTGTAAGATTAGGGTAAATACTTCATTAGAGTACATACATGTCATTTATAATACAGGTTTATGTAAAAAAAAATTCCCAAGTATATAATATTGCCTCATGTGTATTTTTATTATTGTTAATTTTTTAAATTACTTGTAATATCTTAAATTTAGAAACGTTTTTCTACAATTTCGATCAGATGTTCAAGTGAAATTTTTGATTATGATTAAAATGTGCAGTAAATAACTGAAATGTCTTCAACCCTGAAACAGGAAAAGTAACCCTTATTTTTCATTTGGAAAAAAAATCTTTTTGTACACGTTCTGGAAGAATTAGATTGTGTGAAAGGGAGAAATTTATTTGTTCATGAAGTTTATAACTTTTGTGTAAATTTCTGTGCTACATCTTCCATAAAAGGGGTACAAAGGCATGAATATACATTTGAGCATCATGATTAGTGACTATTTTCTTTAAAAGGAAGATCTACATATATTACATTTCCTTCTAGAGCTTCAAGTCAAAGCGACCTACATTTTTACTGTGGATCATTCTAGTACTCCGTATAAAACAGATTTAAACAATGTGGAGGAATGGAAAAAATTAAGCATCAAAGTAGTAGATATAGAGTAGAGTTGAATATAGCATTTCATGAATTACCTGTTCAGGTCTGTTCCAAAACTGTGGTCTATTGAAGCGAGACATGAGTGATGTAAGCCATTCGCGCTGCCAAAATAAAAAAAAAAAGTTTTAGATGCAGTGTATCATAGAATAAGGTTTGCTTGGAGTAAAAATGTTTAAATTTTGATTCCCCCCTTTTTGGTATAATCTGGAGAATTTAATATTTTTTTTAAAATTTCAATAGGCGTACTCTAGTACTGGTGTCTGGGTACGGGTCGAAGACTCCCCATCTACGGTCATCCTGAGCTACTACCCATACTTCGTTTTCCTGCCCAAAAAAAGCACTAAATTTTAAAATTTAAAATCTATAATTCAGATTAATGTTATAAATTCTTCAGCACTTTTTGTGAGGCGTAAGAAAGAGATAACAGGCGTATGTCTACGTACCCGAATCGATCCAATTTTCTGTGTGTGTCTGAAGGGCGCGCGAAGTTCATCTCCTCTGCTTGGAGAGAAAGGCTATAAAGAATGGAAAAGAGCCATGAATCGCGTCAAAATCAATAAGAGAATCAAGAATATAGTATGACTTATGTTGAAAGTGAGGGAACATTAAATCTCATTCATCTATCAGTCTGTCTGTTACAAAAACCTCCCCGTCACCTTGAAGTTTGACCTACTTTTCAAAAATTTTAATATTACTTTAACATTGGTAATAACTTTTGAATGAGAAAAGATAAGACTTTTGTATTTCACATGTACATAACCTTTGACAAGACCTTTCCAAATATACTATGATTTTTGACCCCGTGACATTTACCTTGAAGTTTGACCTACTTTTAAAAAATTTTATCTTAGCTTACAACTTTTGATTGAGAAAAGTTAGGGCTTTCGTATTTAATATGTGCATCACCTGTGACAAGACGTTTTCGGGAATATTATGATTTTCGACCCCTTGACCTTCATATTTGACCAAATTTTTAAAACTTTTAACATTGGTGATAACTTTTGAATGAGATAGGTATTCGTATTTGAGAAGTGCATTTAAGGATTTCCATCCCTAATAGGACCTAATTCTCTATCCTTAAATATCCATCACGTATATAATACTCTGATATTAATTCAAAGCAATTTACAGCAAAAAAAGATTTACCAAGAGAAAGTTTCAAAAATGTAATTAACTAAGCAGTAATTAATTAACAGAAATTGCATTGAAGTCTATGGAGACAAGCGATTTTTTTAACATAAAAATTCAAATAATAAGAATATCAATAAATACTGTTGTGAAAAGATGCATTAAATCATTAGAAATAGAATGACAATTGAAAACAATTTTTTTTACCGTATGGATTTTTTAAAATTGATTTTTATTTCTTAAAAAAAGAGGGAGATAACTCTTCAACAAAGGTCAAGGTCATAAATTAGGAAACGTTCCATTCTTACATGCTAATAGTAATAAATGGGAATTATGTCTAAATATACTGAGTATTCCACCCGTACACATGTTATGTATTCAAATTCATTGAATCTGAGGTTATTAGGGATGGAATACCTTAATTACCTGTGTCAAAAAGTTTCCGAATGTGCTATTATATGCGACCCCGTGACCCTGATCTTCAAATCTGAGCTCATTTTCAAACATTTTATCAATGCTGTTAATATTTGTAGGAGCGAAAATAGGGCATTAATATTTATTATTTGTGACAAACATTTCCAAATGAACTATGATTTTAACCCCCATGACCTTGGCCTTGACGTTTGACCTAATTTTCAAAAAAAAAAATCATTGCTGATAAATTCTGATTGAGATAAGATAGGGCATTTACATTTGACATGTGTATTACCTGTTTTAACCCTTTAACCCCCAGAGACGCATTTGGACGCACTTTCACCATCACAAATATTTAACTGTTGGCGTTTTCTAAATATTCGGGTTACAACAAAACAATTGATATTTTCTGAAACTAGAGAAGAAACTAAATATTTTTTCTACTCAAAATCTTTTCTGTGCGATGTTAAGAAATTATTATAAACTTGAATTGAATATTGCATATCATTGCAAGAAGTTGATAAAACTAGGCATAAATGACTGATTTTGTACTATCTTCTGTTGGCTTTATCTAAATTACAAACACAATAAAATAAAAAATGAATGCCATAACCTGAAAGCTGGGATTATGCCTAACATTTTTTTTTTATTCCGGACATTGAAAGGTACATGAATCCGTTACAGAGATATTTGTTGTTTAATATTGGAACTTTTACGAGTAAAATACACAAAATGCACTATGACGTCATCTGACGTTTTACATGCACAATGAAATCATTCAAGAGCTCAGTGTAAAACAAACTGGCTCTTTTGATATATGGAACAGATTTATTTTTTAAAAAAATGAATTATTTGTAAAGAAGAGTTAGTGTCCGACACGTTTTGAGCCATAAACATGTGATAAAAGGAATTTTCCATGGCACTGGGAGATATATACATCTAGTAATAGTCTTTCACCCAACGCCCCGATTGCGTGCACCCATTGAATCAGAAATGCCTGTCGAATTTTGTGTCAGTCCTTCATGTAGTAGAAATAATTAATCAAATAATTAAATATCATCCTTACCATTTTCCTAATCTTCAGATTTATTAAGGAAAAATAATATATATATATATATATATATATATATATATATATATATATATATATATATATATATATATATATATATATATATATATATATATATATATATATATATATATATAAATCATTTTTTTTAGTACTTGGTGTACTTTGAAAGGAAAGGTGCATTTTTATTACAGCGACAGGATAGATAACGCAGTTATCCTTTTTTAATGATTAAAAGATAAAAAAAAAACTGACACAATGAAAAAATATATCAAAAGTACTACGTACGTCGTAAACGAGCCAAACAAACAGCTGATTTTAATCAGATTGCTAAATATTTATAGAAATAATTTATGAATAAACACACAGGAAACTCGGGTTCTTTGTTCGTGTTAAATTCATTTTTCAGTCTTCAGAGAGTTAAGAACAAGTCTATATCAAACTGGATAAAAATGGAAAACTTGGGATAAACTAACAAATTCTCCCTCATTGCCTAATCCTTTACAGATTAGTAGGGATTACAAGTATGTGTATTGAAGAAACTGAAAAGTTGAATTTACTTCTACAACAAAAATAAAACGGAGCGAGTATGTAATATATATTTGACAGAACATCGCGCGAAAATAGCAAAATGCGCTTTTGAATATAAAAACCGCCATTATATTATTTTCTAAAAGCTGTGGAGAAATGTTAATGAAAGTACAATCAGAAGTATTCGGAAACTATGCCTAAGCTCTATAATTTTGGAAGAAGTTGTGTCTTTCACTATAGAAATCAACGGAAAATATTTTTAAAACATCTCCCTTTCCTTTTTACAGCAATTCTGAATTATTATTTAACAAATTCATACCAAAGTGCTTGTTGTTCCTGAGGGTGGGAGTGGGGGTATGTTTACAGATAAATTACATGAGTTAAAACATATGGAAAAAATGAAGGATCATTTATACATGTCTATGAGCACTTTAAAATCTGAGTACTATTTGAAAATCTCTTGATGTTTTAAAGCCTGATTTCAATGGATATACATCTTCTAGACCCCTTATAAAAAGAATTGTGATTAAGAGCAATGAACAATTTGACACTGGTATTAATAATGTCATACTGTAATTTTTGAATTTACCGGGTGGTAGTAAATACAACAAGAGGCTGGGCCCCATCGCTCACCTTAGCTCATTGGCTAGGAAGAAGCAGTAATTAGTTCAGTATTTAAGGGGGGGGGGGGCAAACTTTAATTTAAACTACCTCAGGATGCTTCCATATCAATATCACTAATCATGGCTTTGCTGTTCTTAAACAAATTAAAAAAAAAATTTTCCTATGTTTTCCACCGTCATGTTAGCTCATTCTGTAGAACTCTCGCTCCGTGATCGGAAGGTAAGGGGTTCGAGCCCCGGCCGCGACTGACCTAATTCGATAAAAAATAGGCAGCAACTGTTCCTTCGCCAAGCGCTCGGCAATTTGAAGTGAAAGTTGCGGGTCCTTCAGATGAGACCTTAATGACCGAGGCCCCATGCCACGGCAGGCGTAGGCACAATGAAAATCCCTCACTGCTCAATGGCCCTGAGTGCTGAGTAAAGGTCTAAATTTGTAGCCCTTCACCGGTATATGGTGATGTCTCTGTATGAGTGAAAAATTCTTGTACGGAACGTAAAACAACATACAATCAATCAATCCTATGTTTTCTTATGTAAAACTCTGATCTCTCATTGTGGCCCCACACTACCCACCCTAAATTTGAACAAATTTGAATCTACACTACCAAAGGATGCTTCAATAATAATATGACTAATCATGGCTTTGCTGTTCTTGAGCAGATTTTTTCAAGATGATTCTTATATTTTTTCTTATGCAAAACTTAATTGACCCTCTGTTGTGCCCCCATGATTTGAACAAACTTGATTCTACAATACCTACGGTTGCTTCTATATAAATATGACTAATAATGGCTTAGTGGTTCTTGAGAAGAAGATTTTAAAGATATTTCCTATGTAAAAGCATTTTATAGTAGAAAAGGATTTATCAAGAGAAAGTTTCAAAAATGTTATTAACTAAGCAGTAATTAATTAACAAAGATTGCATTGAAGTCTAAGGGGACAAGCAATTTTTCTTTTAAAAATAAATATTCAAATAAAAAGAATATTAATAAATACTGTAGTGGAAAGATGCATAAAACATTAGAAATAGAATGACAATTGAAAACGACTTTTTTTTTACCAGATAAGTTTTTATAATTGAATTTTTCAAATAAAAACAGATTGAGACAACCCTTACCAAAATTCAAGGTCATAAATTAGGACACATCCCACCCTTACATGGTAATAGTAATAAATGGGAATTATGTCTAAATATACTGATTATTAAACACCTACATATCTGTCGTGTATTCAATTTCAATGAATCTGTTGATATTAGGGATGGAATACCTTAACTTCTTTATTGCTGATTCAGCATCCAACTTCTTCTGCT